AGGAGAACAGCTGAGATAGGGGAGCCAGAAAACAGCAGAAAGGAAGGACAGCAGCCAAGGAGGCTGCCAAGATGGGAAAATCCAACCAAAACCACGGTGCACACGTACTGAGAAGGCAACACAGACGAAGACAGGGAGGGAAAACACACAAAAACCTTCGAAGAGCACTGGGAAAAGTATATATGGAAGGAAAAAGGGTGGGGTTGTGGGGCAAAAGAGCTTTTGCTGGACAGGACGGTGAGGTTTTTTTTTAAAAAAACCTTTTGGTTCAGAGGGAGAGAGGAAGAATAGGGCAGAGACAAAGCCCTGGCTGCTGTTGACTCTGATGTCCCTGTGCTGGCTCTGGGTGGGCTGCACTGGCCTCCCCAAGTCTCCCTTGAGCTGTGGGAGGATGAGTGACACTGGTGGGGGACACCTGGCAGGAGAAGGGCAGGAGATGCCACAAGCCACACACAGCTGTCCCAGGGACTGATGGCCCAGTGTGGCTCCAGGGGTGTGCTGCACGTGGAAGTGGAGCAGGGAAGGAGCAAAAACCAGTTGTACCTCCCCATGAGGGTTTGGTAGGAAGGGGGCAGCCCAAACTGCAGCCTTACACCACTGGGAAAAACCCCTGGTCTGGTCTCAAGTTTGTATTTCTGTAGCTCAGGGCTCTCTGCTGATGTGTGAAAGGAATGTGATCATCTCCAAGCTCAGAGAAATCTGATGCTCAGTCTGGGTTTGAGGTGTTTGACTTGAACCCATCTCTCCTCGTGGCTCTGTCGTGCACAGACCCCTTTCAGAGGTTTCTTGGTAGGTGGGCAGAAACTAAAGATGCCTTTTAAAAAAAGTCTTTAAACAAGAAACTATTCCTACGTAGCCAAAGTTCTGTGGATTTGTTCTGTCAGTCAGACAGATTGAACGAGATACCAGGAAAGTCAGAGGTTGGGGAAGGGTCTGTCTGCTCTGGTGCTTTAGAACAGAGACACCACACTATGAAAACCAGCCCAAAGGCTTATTTAAAATGGCTATTTTAACACATGATCTTTTTAGCCTCTTTTTTTCTTTTCCTTTTTTTTTTTTTTTTTTTAATTGTACAAGATTTGAGGGGGGGAAATAAGGAGAACTTTATGTTTGTGGTGCCACAGAGCAGAGCTGGGTGCCCACCTGCAAACACCTGCTGCTGGTTTCAGCAGGACAGGGCTCCATTCTAAGTCGGGGCAAACTCCCAGGTGCTGAATAATTGGATTTCTGTGGATAATTGGTGTCTCCATACAGATGTTTATTTATCTACTCATCGATCTGAAATAGCTGGAACCTGATCTAGGTGGGTTCCTCGAGCTTAGTTCAGTGGCCAGAAACAAAGCAAAGGAAATACAGAAAAGCCACAGCTGCTTAATTTTAAGCTTATGTTTAATTTTCTTTTTATTTTAAACCCCAGCACACTGAGGGAGGATCTTTTAGGAAGCTGTATCTGAATTCTTGCTGCTGCATAAAGGCAGACCCAGGTTTGGGTATTTAGCCTCTTTAAAAAAATCCTGCTTTTATGTGGTCACAGTTGAAAACCACAGCACAGGAGGAGCTGTTGGGATTTGGATCCATTGAACCAACCACAGTGAGGTGCAGGGACTGGATTTGGTGGTGGTGGAATGATGGAAAGAGTGAAAAAACCCCTGTTGATTTGGATGGATTCTCAATTACACCAATGTTAGATGGTTATAATCAAGCTTTCTCTCTGAAACTGGGAGGTTCAATGTTAAAACCTGCCAAAGAATCACCCTAAAAATACAAATTTCCAGTTTTTGGGGAGAGCTGCATGGCCTAAACTGGGGCTGCTCCATAACTTTGGCTCCAAGTGTATCCACCTTTTCCACTGTGCTCACACCCAGGCAGTGTCTGACGGGCAGCACTTTGGGATAGAAAGCGTTTTTGTGGCTCAATTAAAAAAGTTTTTCCCAAACAAACAATTAGTTGGAGTGCTTTCTTCATCCTACTGCCTGAAATGTTTGCTGTTACAATAATTTCTTCCACGAGGGTGTTTAAGAAGCCCTTCTGGTGTTGTCTCTGTTTAATGGCTTGTTCACTCCTACGGCCCTGCCTACTCTAATTACTCCAATCTAATTAAGAGCAGGAAAAAAACAACATACTACTGAAGGGCTAGTGAGACAAAAGAGCTGCAGGAAGATAAATGGGGAACTACTGGCGGGGTAATTTTGCTCGTTAGCACCCCTCCTTTCCCAAAATTAGCCTAAATGGAAAAGCAGAATGAGAGAGAAGAGATAGAAACACCGAGAGAGAGAGCAGAGACAAACTTAGAAAGACAAACTGATGTGCCATAGTTTCAAAGACCAGAAAAAGGTTACAAAACCAATATATATATATATATAAATAATAATAGTAATAATAATAAAAAGCAGAAGATCCGAAATCCAGTCTGCTTGGAAAGCAGAGGAAGCACCAGAGAAGTCCAGAAGAACAACACCAATGGCACAGAAAACCAGCACCCCACTTCAGCCACGGCACAGAAGAAAAAAATAAAAATAAAAATAAAAAAATACAAAAAGCTGGTGGTTTGGCAGGAGTTTGTGGGGAGGTTGGTCTACCTTATAGGCAACACGAGCAGGGCATTTCTTTCCAAGGCCTAGAGGTGGGGACATGTGTCTCAGCATCTCATACATGTCTGTGTAACTGATGCGACCGCTGGGAGTCAACGGGGAGGGAGAGCAGGACACAGAAATCAAAACAGAGCGGGTGGAAGGACAAAAAAAAAAAGGGAGAAGGGGGTGGGGAAAACGGCAACACAGTGGAGCAAATGAAAAGGAGGAGAGAGAGGGGAAAGCAGACAAGAGAACAGAGATCTGGTTAATCAGAGTTCTCGGGAGAACAGAACCGAGAGGAAGGGGAGGGTGAATGGAAAGGTTTCTTTCAAAAGGTTGCTGTTGCTTCGGCGCCCGAGGTCTCCTCCTGGCTGCAGGGACAGCCCCTGGCAGAGCACGAGGGTCCCAGGGGGGAATGATTGATGGCTCTGCTCTGGGTGATGCTGTGGGGAGGGCTGGGGGTTGGCTGGCTCTCCGTGGGGTGGAGGCTCCCCCTTCTCACCCCCAGCCCAGTCAATCCCGAGGCTGTGGAGTTCACCATGCCAGGGAGGGCTGGCAGGCAGAGTTATGGGACAGGGAGAGACAGGGCTCCCAGCACGGTCAGCTTTCCTTCTGGGAACGAGGACTTGGGGTTTTTAGGGGAGCCAGGGGGTTAGGAGGGAAGCAAAAAGCCGATCCCGGTGTGTTTGCTCAGGGACAGGCTGGGACTGCCAAGCCAAGGGTGTGACTCTGCAAACCCTCAGCAGCTGGAATTTCTGCTCCAGCCGGAATTTCTGCTCCAGCCTGAGCTCAGGTTTGGCAAAACCAGAGCCCAGCACTCAATTTTCAGGAGGGGGACCTATTTCTCCCTTACATTTGGTGGGGCCCCTCTTTCATCAAGCCAAGTCAACTGGTTGTCTCCACCACCAAGGGCAGCTGTTCCTGTTCCCAGTCCCAGGACCTGGGAATTGCAGAGATTTGGGAAAAGGCCCTTAGACCACCCCATTACTGAGGTCATCTCCCTTCAGCACACAGTGGTGGTAGAATAGAACCCTGCCCTGAAAATCAAGGGGTTCAGAAACAGCAGGGAATTCTCCTCCTTCACCTTTTTCCCAAGTATTAAAATTAGGAACATGACTATGACAATCTCATTTGGTTTTCCCAGCGAGCTGCCTGCTTATTATAATGTGCAAATCTGTGCTGCCTGTCAGCTGAGGAGACCCAAGGATACTGCAGCATGTTATTAATTAAAGTTTAACCCCTGGAAAAGCAGGACTATCATCTCCTCTATCTCAGGAGGGCAACCAAGACCTAAGCACCCCTATAAATCCCCTTTTCCAAGCAGGACAGCTACAGAGGCAAAACCTGCAGACCAGCCCAGTTGTCCTGACATGGGTCTCAATTCCTATATATGAGGAGGAGGGGGTGGAAGAGAGAACTTACCCAGCCAAAAACATCTATTCCTGTCCTTGGTAACTGATGCAGTTAAAATACCACCCAGCTTTTATAGCCCAGAGCTAATTTAAAGGCTGCTGAGAGACACAAGTTGTAATTGGAGCCAGTGTCTTCCCCCTGGCTCCTCTCCTGCTCCTGGGCTGGGGCTGTGGGGTCTCCTGCCTGCTCTGCAAAGCTTGGGAGCTCTTAATCCCCAGGCAGGTGTGGAAAACACCTGGGCTGAAGTGGAAGAGAAAAGCAGTTCTATGCTGGCTGCTTCCACCCTTCTTCATCCTCTGCTCTCCATCACTGCAGGAAATGCCCTGTGCTCCTCCTGGGCTGATTTCTTGGCCAGATCTGTCCTTAATTCCATCCCCTCAGCTCCCAAGCATGGGACACCTTCCCTGTGCCATGAACAGCAGGTTTCACTGGGTGTCCATCATAGTTTGGAGACAGAATTTAGCCCCCAAGGCAACCTGTGCCTGTTGCACCGTGAGAAGCTCATCCCTCACCTCTCCCCAGCCAAGGTACCCACCCTCCTCTGCTGCCCAGTCAACCAGTGCCCAGATCCAATGTCTTTTGGGCTCAGGAGAGGGAAGGTTGGTCATTCAGCTGGAGTGACAGTGCTACAAAGCCCAAACAAAGTGGAATTGCCCCTCCTTGGGGTGCCATTTCTCTCCGGTGTGTGCATATATATATATATAAATATATATATATAAAGTGCTGGGATGCTTTTCCCCAACACTTCCCCCCAGAGCCTTCAGGATGGAAGCTGGGGGGGTTCACTGTCTCATAAAACTGCCTGTCTCCAGCCAGCTGGGGTGTGGGAGTAGACAGGGAAGAGATGCATCGAGGAGAAAGGAGGCAGTCAGTCAGTCAATCATTCCTTTTTTTCAGGCAAGGGGTTAGTTATGGGACAGTTTCTTTTCTCTACTGCATTTGCACTTGGAGGGGGGATAAAAAGAAACAAAACCAGGACTAGAGATGCTGCAGGGAGTCTCTGAAGTTCCAAACCTTGTATGCCACCCTATGAGGGCACTTCTTTCCTAAGCCCAGGGGTGGAGCAATTACACGTAACAAATTGTACATATCCTTATAATGAATCCGGCAACTGGAAAGGAAACATCAGAGGTTATGACAGCAAAAACCAGGAGGAAATCAGCTTTTCCCCAGGAAAACAGGAGGAGTTGGAAGAGCAGAACATGCTGTAAAGGAAAGTTAGTCCAGCAAAAATTGGGCTTGCAAGGAAGGAGCGACTTTAACAGAGAGAGAGAGAGAACTTCCAACTGCTCACCAAACTTTACATCCTTGGATTTCCTTCTGTGCAAGGCTTTCCAACCACTTGGTTCCCTTTATCACTCATGTTTTAGTTCCCTGTGCCTGAGCATCTGCCTCCAGCCTCTCCTACCCACCCCCTCCCAGCCAACTCCAGAGCCTGCAGCACACAAAGAACCTCTTAATTGGGTTATTCCTGGGATTCAGAGGGGCTTGGGAAGCTTTACCTTCCACTGTTCCCTCCCACACAAGCCCAGCAGGGCTGTTCTCTCATCCAGGGGCACGGAGCAATTTGCTGCAAGTCCAGAAATTCTCATCTCAGAGGTTGGCTTGGCCACTGGCACTGGGAAAATGCAGCTTTTGTTGCCAGCAGGTGAAATCAGAGACCTCACAGTGGCTTTCTGGTCACTCTCATTAAATCCCTACAATATTCCCAGCTAATTTACAAGCAGGGTTCCATTTCTTCATCTTTTGCAAGTAACCAAATCATAGGCAAAAAGAGCTGAGCTTCCAAATTACCTCTGAGGAAAGCTGAGATGATTTGGCTTCTCTGTGTTTATTTTGGTACTTTATATAAAGAAGGCTGGAATATTTTGGAATATCTCCTTCAATATTACAGCTTTTTTGGATGGGGAAAAATTAAGGTCTATTCAAAGCCTTCCCAATCCACTCAAACCTATTAATTCAGTAACAGATCAAATGGAACTGTGCAAGTCTTGGCTGGAGGCCTAATTGTGGTTATAAAAAGTATATTGGTTTAACTGAGTCAAGAAGTTGACTTGACTTTACTTACAATTTTGGAACCATTTTGTAAAATCAGGGTGTAGAAATTACGTCTGACCAGTCCCCTGAGCTCTCTGAGAGCTCCTGGAAGGCCTGAAAACCAGCAGATGTTTTGCATTGCAAGGCACAAAATGAGGACAAAACAGGGATTCTCTCCCAGGTTCATGGAACTGTGGAATGCTTTGGGGTGGAAGGGACCTTAAAGCCCATCTCATTCCACTCATAGACACCTTCCACTAGCCCAGGTTGCTCCAACCTGGCCTTGGACACTTCCAGGGCTGGGGCAGCCACAGCCTCTTGTTTAAATCTGAGTTTTGGTTATTTCCCTCAGCATTCTTTTATCCCAGAAAGCCAAGAGAGAACTCCCTTAGCAGCCCTTGCACCTCCTCCCCGTCCCACTGAAAGTGCTTCCAACTTGTCCCCTCTTTGGGACAACTCATGGGAATGGGCTGGCCAGACCAGTATTCCCAGTATCTCTAAGGGCTGTGTACTGGGAAGGTATAAGGGAGATAAAGTTCTCTCTTTATATATGTTGAACAAAGTGAAGCTCATAGAAACCTGATTTTCTTTGGCTTTTCCCAGTTCATCCTTAAATCCTGTGTTTTCACTCCTTTCCTGATTAACTCCCAGTCCCCCCAAACCACCCTGGGTTTCTTTATTTCTTCCTCTCTCTCTCTCTGTTTTTCTTTGAGCCCAAGGCTTTTACCACCCCTGAATCCAACAGTTTCCCCAAACTTACCCCTCCAGAGTGGGACACATCTAGAAAAACAGCTGCTAAATGCCTTTTGAAATTCCTTTTGAATGCTTTTCCCCAGAAAAGTTTACAGAAAGTTGGATTTTGTAACAAAACCAAAGGTGATCTCAGAAATAGAGATGTAAATACACATCGAGGCTATGTTTAAAATATTATCTATATAACAAAAATACAACACCACTTGTGCTTTTTAACCATGCAGCATCTTTCGTGGAAGGATCTTAATCTGTGGGATTAAGACAAACACTGTAATTCCCTTTTTTTTTAGGACAATCAAAGGGGAGACCTTGAGAGAGGTGATCAATGAGTGACCAACTCAGCCCCAAATCACAGAATCATCAAACAATAGGATGAGTTGGGAAAAAAAATCTCTGAGATCAGAAAGATCAGGATCTTGGATCAAAGTGATTAAAAGATTAATTCTGGCCTTAAACCATGAAGGGGTTTTAAACTGTGGAAATTTTCGTCCCACTCCTGAAAATGTCAGTGCTTTCAGTGGAACTATTCCCACTCTGCCAACATCAATAACGTCCCACCAGAGCATAAAGGGAGCAAGGTTAGGAGAAAAACAGAATTAGGATGTTAATAAATGACATATTCTGCATTAACAACTCTGGAAGGGAAAAGGTTTTGGCCCCCCGAGTGAGTCACAAAATGTAAAGCGTCTGCCCAGAGTTAACAGAGCGAGAAATCTCTCAGTAAACTTCATATTTGTGCCTCTGATGGGTGGAAAGTTCCTGAACGCAGAAACATTAAAAACCCCCACATTAATCCTAATTTTTCCCCCCCCTTTGCAGGTGTGTTACTCCTCCCACAGACGTTCATCAGAGCCAGGGCTATTTTTGAAGGAGCAAACAGGCACTCCCAAGTTTTCAGTCTCATTGAGGTTTTCTGTAAGAGATAGGATTGGATTTGAAAAAGGAGGGAAAAAAAAAAAACCAAACCTATTTACTGCCTGCCAAATACCCACAAAGGACTGTCTGTGTTACAAGTAGGAAAACCTGCTTGGAGATTACAAGCTGTGAGTAAATGTGGAGTATATTCAGGCTGGTAGTAGAGGATGGCTTTGAGGTGGTTAAAATCCCCCACAGTTCAGAGAAATGCAAGCATTTTGGGGTAGGTTTACATTTAAAGTTGCCCTAAATCATTTAAACTGAGGTTTTAATTGCATCCTAGCAGGGAGTTTGAGATGCTGATTATACCAATGCTTTCTGCATCTGTCTCAGCTGAAGGGAAACAAAGAAGAGGGGAAAGATTTGGAGGAGCTGGAGGCATTAAAAATACAGAGGAGATTCATTGCAAAGTAGCTCGTGGGGAGGAAAATGGAGAAAAATTAGTAGAGCTTTAAATTAAAAAAAAAAAAAAAAAGAAAGTCTCCCACCAGGCAAATTCTCGAGGTGCAGAATATCAAGGAAATTACTGTGACCTGTGAGAGAGCATCTGGAAATGAGAATAACACAGTCACCAGGGCTGATGTGCAGCAGCTCTTTGTGGGCAGTGCAGAAAAGCAATCTATTAAATCAGTCTTGCTCTAAAGGTGGTCACAGGTCAGGGCCATTCCCTCAAATTTAAAAAATTCCTTAAAATCCTTCTTTGTTAACTGTGGGGTTCGTCCCAAACCTGTGCCACGGGGTCCCCGAGCCCGGATGGGAAACTTTCCCTTTGAATAAGGCAAAGAAAGAGATGAACCCACAAACCAAACCCTTCCCTGTGTGCAGGAACCATCCCCTCCTTGAACACACTCAGACATTGGGAACATTTTATCAGAGGCTCTTGGGAACTGAAACGTTTCCAGCCTTTGGCTCATTTTCTTCTGATTATTTCACGTCTTCTGTTTCAACTTCAAGTCTAAAAGCTGAGCTATCATTTAGAAGACCAAAGTTCCCTCGTAGGGTTTGATGTCATTAGAAGGGGGCTTCCAAAGGCAGAAACGTTGGGATTAATGAGAAATGGCTGTTTAAAAAAAAAAAAATCACATGTTTCCAGCACGAACCTCCTGCTGGGGAGTGGGTGGGCAGAGGCAGGTGACGGAGTCAGAGCCTGCACAACTTGACTCAGATGTGACACATCCTCTCCCGTGGCCTGAGGGATCTGCACAGGATCTGGGAAACCCATTAAGGTGATTCTCAGCTAGGAAACCCCCCTGCCCAAATGAGGTGTGACAAGGCAGAGCCTCTCCCACCGCCTCAAAGTGCTGCCAACAGCGAGAGGTCTGCGCGTTTTTATCTCCAAACCGGGACGCAGAAACCAAAGGCAGCGAAGAGCTTTTCTACTTGGCCTTTCAGCCAAGGTAATTTGGATTTCCCCTGGTGATTTTTGGCTGTGTGGGGAGGAGGTTTTGCTGTCTTGGTTGGGTGGGTTGTGCCTGTTTGGAGGAAACTCCCTTTTACCGACATCAGGTTTGTTCATCTCCACTGCAGCTGGAGCACTGACCACCAGTGTTACCTTGGAGCTGTTTTCCTTCTGGAGCTGTAACTCCTTAAAAGAGGCTCTGTGTGTTGACAGGTGCAATATTTACAGCCCAGGTGTGTCCTCCTGTCCCCCAGCAGGGTCTGTCTGTACGTACCAGGCAGCGGGGTCGTACTCGGCCCAGACACGCACGAACTCGTCCAAGTGGTGCGGCCCCAGGATGGAGGAGTCTCTTGTCAGGTACTCAAAGTTGTCCATGATCACAGCCACAAACAGGTTTAACATCTGCAGGCAGGGAGCAAGAAGGCAGTCAGGGAGGGGAAAGGGAAGAAAAAGGAAAGAGGGGAAAGGGAAAGGGGAGAGAGGGAAGAGAAAAGGGGAAGGGGAGAAGAAAAGAGAAGGAGGGAAGGGAAGGGAAGGGAAGGGAAGGGAAAGGGAAAGGGAAAGGGAAAGGGAAAGGGAAAGGGAAAGGGAAAGGGAAAGGGAAAGGGAAAGGGAAGGGAAGGGAAAGGGAAGGGAAAGGAAAGGAAGGGAAGGAAGGGAAAGGAAAGGAAAGGAAGGGAAGGGAAAGGGAAGGGGAAGGGAAAGGGGAAGGGAAAGGGAAAGGGAAAGGGAAAGGGAAAGGGAAAGGGAAAGGGAAAGGGAAAGGAAAGGAAAGGAAAGGAAAGGAAAGGAAAGGAAAGGAAAGGAAAGGAAAGGAAAGGAAAGGAAAGGAAAGGAAAGGAAAGGAAAGGAAAGGAAAGGAAAGGAAAGGAAAGGAAAGGAAAGGAAAGGAAAGGAAAGGAAAGGAAAGGAAAGGAAAGGGAAGGAGGAAGAGGAAAAGGGAGAAAAAAGGAATGGGAAAGGGAAGAAAAAGGAAAGAGGAGAAAAAAGGAAAGGGGAGATAAAAGGAAATGGGAAGAGAAAAGGAAAGGCTGGAAGGGGAGCAGGCATGATTCCCTTAATTGGATGTGTAGTTCCTACAAGAAGCAGCCTGACCCCAGAGAATAAACTCTCCAAACAGAGCCCTGGTCCTTGGGGTGCTGCTGCTCCTGCTCCTCCCCTGCACACACTGCAGGTCCCTTTGCCAAGGATTTTGACTGCAGGTTTTCTCCCAGACACTGGTGCTGCCCTCCAGTGTGACCCACCCCAGAGCCCTGATGGATCAGCCCCTCTCCCTGCCCCTCCCTCAGCCCACACCAGCCCAGAGCAGCACAGGGGCTGCAGCAGCTGCTTCTCCAACCAGACGTGGGAACCCTTCCAGCACTTCCACATCAAGACCAGAACAGCCAAAAGAAAACCCATTCTTCAGCCTAAATGTGCTATTTTAGACTCATGACAAGAGAAACCTTCAAAGATCCCCGGAAAGATGAGGAGCAGGACACACAAAGCGCTCCTGTCCCTGATGGCCACTGACACAGAGCCTGGCAAACGCTTCTGGAATGTAAAGGTTCTTCCTCTTGTTAAAGCCAAAGGGAAGAATCACAAGGATTTCAATGGGAAAAGATCAAGCTGCAGCCAGCAGAGTGGAAAAGCAGGAGGGAAGAGCTGCTCCTGGGCCCGATAAAGAGCTGATGGGCACGAGGCTCCTTTCTGCCTCTGTCCTGCCTTCCTAGGGAGGCTGAGCTGGTGCTGGCAGTGCTGCTCCTCAGCCCCACGCTGGGCAGGGAGGGCTGTGGCCAAGCAGCCTGTCAGCACAATTAAACCCAGTGTGGGGCACAGTTAAACTGAATATGGATGTCATTAAAAGAAAATCAGGCAGTGGAATTTGGGCTTTGTGCAGTTTAAAAGAATTCATATTCCTGTGTGATCTGGAGGGGGGAGGGGTCCTGGCTCTTGCTGGGATGCAGCAGCACAGACAAGCTCAGTCTGTAATGAATCACCACATCAGCACCAAATGCTGATCAGACACTTCTCAGAGCTTTAGTGCATCTGTTTTCACAGAATCACAGAATGTGCTGAGTTGGAAGGGACCCACAAGGATCATCCCAGTCCAACCCTCATCCCTGCACAGGACCATCCCCACAGTCACCCCCTTGTCATCCAAACCCTCCTGGAGCTCTGGCAGCCTTGGGGCTGTGCCCACTGCCCTGGGGAGCCTGTTCAGTGCCAACCACCCTCTGGGGGAAGAACCTTTCCCTGAGATCCACCCTGAGCCTGCCCTGACACAGCTCCAGCCATTCCCTGGGGGCTGTCCCTGGTCCCCCCAGAGCAGAGCTCAGTCCTGCCCCTCCTCTGCCCCTGCCCAGGCAGTTGGAACTGCAATGAGCTCTCCCCTCAGTCTCCTCTGCTCCAGCTGAACACACCAAGTGCCCTCAGTGTCCTCACACGGCTCCAAATCAAGGCCCTTCCCCATCCTCGTGGCCTCCTTTGGACACTCTCCAATGGCTCAATCTCTCCCTTCCATTGTGTCCCCCCAAACTGCCCCAATCTTGCAGGTGAGGCCGCCCCAGGGCAGAGCAGAGCAGGACAATCCCCTCCCTGATGCCCCCAGGACAGGGTTGGCCCTCCTGGCTGCCAGGGCACTGCTGACTCAGGGCCAACTGGCACCCACCAGCACCCCCAGGGCCCTTTCCTGGCACTGCCTTCCAGCCTCTCATTCCCACTCTGTCCGTACATTCAGGGCTGCCCCATCCCAGGGGCAGAATCCGGCACTTGCTGAACTTCCTCTGGTGTTTTAGGAGCCCCAACCAGGCTCCTGCCCCTGCAGTGTGTGAATTCACTCCTGTGTGAGGCTCATCAGCTCCAACATCATCAAACACCTCTGGTGGCTTTGGGCAACCACGATGGCACTTCATGTCCCCCCCTCCTTGGTGTGTCTGTGCCCCTGTGCCACGGCCCAGACAAGCCCCAGGATCCTGTAGTGCCCATGCAGGGATGGGGATGCCCAAACCAGCTCTGAATAAGCAGCTCCAAGGCTGCAAGAACTGCAGCTGCATCAGCAGGGCTCACACATCCCACGGTGTCCCCAGAGCAGCACCAGACAGCAGAACTTCTCAGAGATTGCCCCTTGATCCCAAATCCCTCTCCCCTGCTCCCAGCTCCAGCCATGGCTCGGTTCAGCACCCCCTTCCTTGCCTACAGCTGCTTCCAAAGTTCCTGTACATTCTTAGCTTCCAATTCATATTTTCACTATAAATTTCAATCGATGTTTTTCTCTCTCCCGTGTATTCTTAACTTTCAATTTACATTATTCAACATGGCTTTCAACTTATCTTTTTTTTTTTCCCTCCTGCAAATTACAGGGGAAAAATTATGTCAAGCTGCACATCCACACAGAGCCAGAAACACCATTTGAAACCGAATGCATTATCCAATTTCCCCTCAATCCATGGCATGACATTGAGCAAACCATTACCAAAAAAAAAAAAAAAAAAGTGCTCTCCTGGCAAGGCTGGGGCTCTGCAAAGCTTGGAACCACTTGTGGGGAACCACATGCTCGAGCGCTGAATGCATTTTAAGAAATGAGTTACAGCCCAATCCAGCTGCTTGGCTTTCCACTGCCTATTTTTGGAACTTTTGCTGCTCACAAGGGCTCTCCCCTCTCTTGGTCCAGTTTGCAGGGGTTTTCCAGGAGCTCTCACTCAGGGGCAGAGCTGCTTTTGCACAGCTCCAATCCTGCTCCTACGTTTTGTCTGGGATGGCTGATCCAGCCAGGGAGGGCTCTGGGCAGGGAGTGATGTTTGCTGTTGGTTTATCTTTTTTAAATAAAAAGCTGTAGGAACAAGAACACGCTTGAAAATAACGCTGAGAACGTCTCATGGCGGGTTGGGGATTTGCACGAGGAAAAAAAATCTGGTTTTCAAACGCAGAGTGCTGGAGGAATCACCAAGTGGAGCATTAACTTCGTATAAGCTTTCAGGGCTCCAGGTTTGTTTTTTTTTAATATATGCAGAGGAAATAATCCACGGGGTGTCAGAGGAGCAGGAGCAGTGGGACAAAGGATGCCAGGAGGGGCCATTGAAGTTGGTGTGTCTGTACCCAGCATCAAACCGCCCCTTTTCCTGGTGGAAGGGTTCTGAGGAGAGCAGGATCAGCCGCACAAAGCAGCCAATCCATCTGCTGTTTGAAAGCAAACCCGCGGCACTGAACGTCGGCTCGAGACGCTGCTTTTTTTTTTGGTCCGTCTCAAGAGCTTTCATCTCGTCCTGCTCGAAGCTTAATTGGGTCCCTGTCCCCGGTTTTCCAGTCCCGTGTCCCAGCGGTGCTGGAAAAGGGAACGAAACCCCCGGGGGCAGAGGGATGTTTGGGGATGTCAATGCTCTCTCGGGGAGGCGCTGGCACCTCTTAAAGCACGGGCACAAACCAAGCACTGAACGCTTTTTTCTAAAGCTTCGCTGGCAGAAGCAAATGATTATTGCGTTTCTTTGACAAACAAAACGGAGCACAAAGCATCAAATGAGTGTGATACTCCCAGCAAGAGCTTCTAAGAGGGTGTTGTCCCGGCCATTCTCACCCTGCCCTCCCCAATCCCCTTCTTCAAAGGCCCGTGTTACAAATCAAGACAAAACCGATTAGTGCTTAATTCCAGATATTAGACCCCCCCCCTGCGAGAAGAAAGATAAATCCCTTCCCTTTAAACTAATGACTAAATGATCTCTTTGGGGATTAAAGGGATTTTTATCACCAGGATGATAAATGGGGTTTAGCAAAGCTGTCTGGTAGTGTTGGATAAATTATAATTAGGGAGGAGGAGGAGGAGGAGAAGGTAGAGGGGTGGGAAGTGTTTTGGGGGATCCACCACAACACCCCCATTTTGGGAGAGGTCAGGACCGACTTACCAGGAAGGAGCAGAGGAAGATGAAGGACACAAAGTAGAAATAGGCAAAATCACTGCCACATTCCTTCTTGGTGAGGCCAGAGAGGGGGTCACAGGCTCTGTTGCTCAAGCAGGACAACATGATCTCGTGCCAGGCTTCCCCCGTGGCACTCCTGGGGATGGGAGGGCAGAAGTGAGTTTATCCACCCCTTCCCATTGCAGACCCCAGGGGCAGCCACCTCACAGTGCTACTGTGCCTAATTAACTAAATTAATTAGGTGGAAGGTTGTGTCCAGGTGGAGAGACTGTGTTTACACTGGGAATTTGAATTACCAGCCTGCTGATGTGGAAAGGAAGGAGAATAACATTTCCCTCCATCACAAGGGGGTAAAAGAAACCAGACAGGCTGAGGTAGGCTAAAAGCTTTATTGCTTTTAGGGAGAATAAAACCAGATTGATTTCAACATGTCCAGTGCAAATCTAAATAAACAGAGTTTAGATTGTTCCCTTTTGAAGCAGCCAACCACTTCTATCCTAGTGCTGGCTCAAAACCCAGTGGAGATGATGGGAAATGAAATCAGGCTTCTGCACTTGAATCTCTTATTTTCTTTATCAGGCAGATAAATTCCAGCATGGTCTGGTTGGTCACAGTGACATGGAATCTCTTTTTCCTGCCAGTCTCCTGGGTGTTTTCATCATTTCCCTCCTCCCCCTCTAACTTCTGCTACTGAGAAAAACAGCCAAAAGGAAAAGTTTTGGAGTCCCCGGGGTTTGTCCTCAAAATAAACCACCCCCTGCAATGGTTTGGAAGTCAGGGGATCTCCACATATCAGAGTAATCTGATTCCTACCCCATCCCAATCCTGCTGCCCCTCAGTCCCACTGTGGCAGCCGTGGGCCCGTGAAGGGACCACGAGGTCTTGGCCACGAGACTGAATAATTATCCAATTTTATTAAAATTCAGGGCTTTGAGCTGAGTGATTATTCTGAGCTAGAGAGGGCTAATTTCTTTTCCATCTGGCTTCACAGAAACTATGGAAACCAAATCCCAGGCAAGAGATCCGGTTACGAGCTCCACATAATCTGCAGAGCTGGGGTTAACTGTGTGTGTGTGGGGGGGGTCTCCACACCCTCCAAACTGCCCTGAGCTGGAGCAGGGCCTGAACTTCAGTTTTGACAGGTCTGAAAATGAAAATCTAAGTGAAAAATTAATTGCTTGGGTTTTAATTGGAAAATGCTTCGTTTCCTTGCAGAATGAACCCAGAGGGAAACACTTGCACCTCCGAAGCAGAGGTGGGGTTGGTGGGTGAAGTGTTAACTTGCTGGTAGTGCAAAAAAAAAAAATGACCAATTTAAGGGATTCTCACTTAAAAAAAAAAAGAGAAAACAAGCTTCATGACAGGAAACCCATCAACCAGGTATATAGGGGGGCTGTCCTATATTAAGCTTGTGCCTGAGCTGTCGTGGGGTGTCACAGCCCTGGGTGACACGTTGTGGAGGTGACGATGTGTTGAATCAGATCTGCCGAGCAGGAGGAAGCAGGAATGGCTGCTTTGCTCAAGAGAGACCTTTTTTCCTGTTCACATGCAAGTCAGATGGGTGTTTTATACCCTCTTCTTACCTGAACAGAAGCATCAGGGCTTGGAGGAAGGTACGGAAGTTGTTGTGCCGGTTAATGGAGGTTTCATCGTCTAATGCAATGTTCCCAAATACCTGCCACGGGAAACAGAAGGGATTCAGGCCAAACACATCCTCCCATGGATGTTGTCAGGAAAGGTGGATCGAGTGAGAGGGAAATAATTTGTCCTGGTTTAAGGGATCTCAAAAAGCTAAAATAATTCCTGTGCTGAAGAGGGAGATGGAAGTGTGTGGTGGAGGAGGTCAAATGGGGGAAAACACTGGGTTAATGTGCTTTGTATTCACACAGGAGCTTCCCAGCAGTTCAGCTCCATTCCAGGCCAACAAAACTTGAGTATTTCTTCTCAGAAAAGTGCAGGGTCTGGGCTGCTCCCTGTCTCAGCCTCCTGAGGTGTTCATAGCCAGGGGAAGGGACGTCTCTTCCCGTGGGAGACACGGACGCCCACCCTGCTGCTGGAAATGCAGTGGTACAGGCTCATCCCCACACCTGGTGTGTCTGCCCACTCTCTTTGTACACCCAGGGCTGCATTCAACTTAAAACATGACAATAAGAGTCCAAAAGTGGCCTTTTATTCCACTTCTGATTTACCTGACACCACACAAGAGCAACCTTTTGCCTCATCCTAAGTCAGCTGCTGTGCAGGCAATAACCCATCTGCACCCTGAACAAACCCAGGCTGATGATGGCCAGAAGGAGGGCTAAATTTTTTACCTGCATGCCAATAATGGCATAGATGAAGAAGAGCATTGCAATGAGGAGACACACGTAAGGCAAGGCCTGTGGGAGAGGAGAAGGTGGTGTTAAAGACAGCAAAGGCACAGCACCCAGGAGCGTTTAATTCCTGGGCAGGACTCTGTTTTGTGGCATTTGTCCTTCAAGGGAAGGAGTTGGGAGGAGAACATGAACAGCTCTGTCAGCCTTCAGAAGACAAACCCCTGGAGCCACGAATTCATCAATCCCAAAACAGCCAGGGTTTTCCAAGGGCTCTCTCTATACATCCTTGCAAGCAGGGAAAACACAATCCAAAGCTTCCCAGTGAGCACTGGAACTACCAGCAGGCACTGGCACTTTCTGTGCATAATTGTATGAATGTTAATTTTTAATGACCTTGCTGTAAATGCAGTCTGAAGAAAGAAAAATATCTATCCCAGAAACAAGTTGCTGCTCTGAAAACAGGCCCAGATTGCAGTCCCAGGAGGACAAAAAGCTTCTGAGTTTTAGCAAGAGATCAGTGGAGGCTGTGATGTAATTATGTCACCCAAGCTGAGAGTGATAGCTGCTTTCCACTTGGGCTAAACAAATGGGTAATTAATGCCTCTTAATTAGTAAGAGCTGAAAAAAGGAGAAGTCTTGCCATAGGTCTAGCCCTTGTGGTGCTCGGGGCAGGAGAGGGGTTTTACAGCCATGGGGGGCCCAGTGGGAATCACAGAATCATAAAATATCCTGAGTTGGAAAGGACCCACAGGGATCACCCAGTCCAACCCCTGGCCCTGCACAGACACCCCAACAATGCCACCCTGTCCCTCAGAGCGTTGTCCAAACCCTCCTGGAGCTCTGGCAGCCTTGGTGCTTATCTTCCCAGTTTGTGCCACCAAACCCTGGTGGCTTGGGGTTTGTCTCTGCCCCCTTCCACCACCCCCAAATCCTGGTGAAAGCAATTCCACCTTCCACTTGCTGCAGGCAGATGACAGTCACAAGGGCACCACCCATTCTTTATGCAAATGTTTGAGTGTCAGGACTTTGCCACGGGGGTTTTGTGGTGGTTTCAGGGGCAACCTGAGCTCTGTGCGCTCGCTGGAATCTGCACCAGCAGCTGTTTGGGACTCCACCAAAAATGCAGCGTTCAGGGGGGTGGTCAGTGCTACCCAGTTTGCTGCCCTGCAGAATGAATATCCCTGTGATGGAATAGTGGTGCAGAGGGAATTCCTTTGGCAAGGGGAGCTGGTTGATCCTCAGTGGAGGACTCCGCGGATGGGCCAAGCGCGACCCAAGTCCCCAAACTCACCTTAAAGGACTGCACAAATGTCCAGAGCAGGATTCGGATGGTGTAGCCCTGGCGGAGGAGTTTGATGAGTCTGGCTGCCCTGAAGAGCCTCAGGAAGCTGAGGTTGATGAAGTTGTCCTGCGGAAAGTAAAGGTTTTGTGTCCTTCAGAAATTAACGCGCTCGGAAACCACAGCCCGCGAAAAAAGAAATTAAAATTACCAGCTTCACGATCTAAGCAGCAAATCGGCCACCAGAAAACCTTCCAAAAGAAACATTCGTCAGTGCAGATCACTCCACATGCAGCAAGAATGAGAAAATCCCTCTCCACAAGAGCCCTCCCCTCTGCTACTGGGTCAGTGACAGAAAAGGCCCTTTGGTGCTGTCCATGGAGGTCTGATTTGCTTTGAGAAAGGCAGATTTTCTCCCCCCAGAGACTCAGGGAGAGGGAATGGTGCCATATTTTCATTTTGTAAGGAGTGAGGTTGTTTGGACGTCTTGGTCAGCTCTGAACTTAAGCCAAGACAGGCGTGTACAGCCTGTAATGTAACAAAGAAAGGCATTGTCCAGTGAAGATTCAAACATCCTTGAAGGAATGAGGATGTTTTCCAACCTGGAGGTTTTATATATGTTTATACAGAGAGTAACTGGACAGGTTCATCAAGGAGAAAGGGCACCAGAAAGACTTGTTGGGGAGATGGATCAATGGCAGCGAGTCAATTGGGGAGGTTGAGCTTTCAGCAGCAAGAGGATGCCTTAGGAACCTGCTGCTTTTTCAAATTGTCATTAAATGTGCCTTTGCAGGTGGATCAAAGAACTGCTGGAGACAGATTCAGATTTCCATTAGTTTTGGATGATTCTCCCCACCCCTCACCCCATTTTTTTTTTCTTTTCTTCAGGGAAAAGAGGTTTCTTGCCCCAATGAGCTAATCTAGAGAGGGTTCTTTCCAAAACAAAACATGCAAAAGCCAGATCCCTCTTGCCCTCCTATTTGAAGGAGATGAAAAATATTCCCCCTTTCCATACTGATCCCAATTCACTTATTTGTGAATCTCTGTTCACAGTCACTTTTTTGACTGAGTGAGCTAAAGAGAGAAAGCATCCCACTTTAAACTAGCAAGCAGTGAAGCAGAAAATATAATCATAAAGAGCTCTTGTTGGTAAAGATGAGCAAAAATAGTATTTCCCTTGTATTCTTGTTTTACCAGGAGACACCCAGTCATATCGAACTGACCCAGGTTTCTTGCTCGTTTGGCTACAGAGCTCATGCTGAAATTGGGGGGCTTGTTGGATCTATTCATTTCTTGAAATGCCAGCTCAGTTTTTGGGGCCATTAGCATTGCATTCCACCAATCCCATCAAAGAGTCCAAGAAATCAGTCTCAGGCATGCACTCGGTCTCTCTCAGGTTAAAAACACAAGCAGCTCAGAGTTAGGCACAGACCGTAAATCAGACTCAGTCCTCAAATAAAGAGAAAAGAGAAAAGCACAGGTATGTTCCATGAAAGAGCAGACAACACGGAGCTCATTCCAGTCAGCAGCAGGATCAGCTCTGGCAGGCAAAGCACAGGCAGGATTCCCCTGGGTTGCTGGAGGTCGGGAGAACAGGCACTCGAAATGTAACGCTCGTCTCGGAGCATCAGCTCGGCTTTGCTTCGCTCGTGGCTTACCTTCCCTTCACCAAACTCCAGCTGGACTCACCTTGGCACGTTAAGGGCCCGAGGGGCAGAGCTGGCACTCAGCTGGATAACGAGGTGCCATCAGCTAAGCTGGTCCCTGTCCCCCTGTTCCCCCTGCGGGGCTGATGAGCTCCACAGGGCAAGGCAGAGGTTTAACCCAGAGCCTGCTTTAACCACATCTTCCCAGCAGTGAGAACTGGGCCAGACTTTATGTGTCATTCACAGCACTTTCAGGCCTGGAAGGCTGACAGATTTTAAGCTTCAGAGCGGTGCTCAAGCCAGACCTTCCCTGTGCTCAAGCCTCATGCTCTTGTGAGGAGCACATGGACGGTGTCTGCAGGATCCATCACTCCCCTGACCCTGCTGTCCCTCCCTCTTGCCACGTTCCTGCAGCTTAACAGCAAGAACATTGTCTTGCTCAGACTTTGCTGTGGCCTCATAATCAGAGCTGACAGGATGCTCAACATCTGCTTTGGGCTGGGCTGCCTGAGAGGTCATGCTGAGCACGGGCTGTGCTTTACCCATGGAAAAGGGCTCTAAATGGGAAAGGGGTTCAGAACTGTGTAGTGATGCCTATAATCCCCCATTCCCTGGGATTTGGAGGGACAAACAGTCCGTACAGTTTTTATTCCCCAGCCTCTAAGCCTCCCTGTTTGACCCCTGCAGTTCCTAGGTGGCAGTGGGATCACTCACAACCCAGGCAAATCCCCCGACACCGGCACGGCTCGAAGGACCGTTCTCTGTTCGTGGGGAGGCCAAAATGCACTCTCTGGGGATGGGGAGGAAGTCTCTGCTTGTGCCACCCCCAGCACACCACGAGAAAACCCGTCCTTCGACACCTCAGCCCTCCAGGCAGGAGTTAGAGTCACATGCAGCTGAAGGGGAAACTCCACAGTGCGATATTTCTCGGGTACAAGGGTGGTTTGCATTGATTCTCCCCCCACTCAGCCACCCCTGTGATGCAACACAGTGATTGTCCAGGTCATTCTTCCCAGGTTTTTGGGTTGCTTTTCTGCTGCACAGATGCTCGTGGCTGTCTGGTCCTCACAACGGGCACCAGAGCTTTGGGATCGTGGGATCCACGTGACAACTCCAAAAATTGTGTTTGGAAAAGCATTTCCCCCAGGCATGGCCCTGTTTTCCTAAAAGAGGAAGGTCTGGCACTGAAGGTACCCACTCACCAGCCAGGGCCTGGGCACTGCCACCACTTCCCACAACAGGAGCTCAGATGAGTGATAAATCCCTGAACAAACTGCAAAGCAGGAGGGAAACGGAGAACAGACACCATGGATAACAAACTGGCCTTGATTGCTGTCCCACCACGGGCAGCCTCATCTTTTACCCTTTCTTAGGGTGTTTTCCTAGAATCACAGGTTGATTTGGGTTTGAAGGGAAATTAAAGATCATCTCATTCCACCCCCTGCCATGGGCAGGGACACCTCCACGAGCCCAAGTTGCTCCAACCTGGCCTTGGACACTTCCAGGGGCAGCCACAGCTTCTCTGGGCAACCTGTGCCAGGGCCTCCCCACCCTCATTGTAAGAAACTTCTTCCCAATATCCCATCTATCCCTGCTCTCTGGCAGCGGGAAGCCATTCCCCCTTGTGCTGGGATTCCAGTCCCTTGTCCCCAGTCCCTCTCCAGCTCTCCTGGAGCCCCTTTAGGCTCTGGAAGGGGCTCTCAGGTCTCCCTGGATCCTTCTCTTCTCCAGGTGAACTCCCCCAGCTCTCCCAGCCTGGCTCCAGAGCAGAGGGGCTCCAGCCCTCAGAGCATCTCCGTGGCTGCCTCTGGGCTCCAGCAGCTCCATGTCCTTGTTTTGTTGGGAGCCCCAGGGTTTTCCATGCTGAAAAGCAGAGAAGCCATGAAGAGCAGGGTGTGCAGCCACCGCCTGGGGCTGTTCCTCCAGCACCCTCAGCAGCAGAATGATCTCCTGCCCAGCACAGGAGCTGTGCCCACTGTCCCCAGGGGTGCAGAAAGAGCTCTGGGAAAAGAATCTAACCAGGCCAAGAATGGGATTGCTCAGGAAGCTTTAGCACTTCATCTGGCATCAACAAGAATTAAATTATTCTGTTGAGGAACTGCTGTCAAGGAAATGGCCTTGTTCCCATCTAACTGCCCATGGTGTTGCCAGGAGTGTTCCTGAACCTTGCACAGGGTCCTGGCTTCCTCTGAAGCTCAGGGAACCCATTGCTGATTTTAAGAGGCTGAAGATTTTTGCCACACTTGTCCGTGCCTTGAGGACTCTGCCACTGCAGTTACATCATATCAGTCCTTCCATCCTGAGCCTGGAGTGCTGGAAAAGTGATTTCCTGTGTGTGATACCCAGATCTCTCCTCATTCCCTACAGAATATCCTGAGCTGGAAGGACCCACAAGGATCACCCAGTCCAACCCCTGGTCCTGCACAGACACCCCAACAATCCCACCCTGTCCAAACCCTCCTGGAGCTCTGGCAGCCTTGGGGCTGTGCCCACTGCCCTGGGGAGCCTGTTCAGTGCCAACCACCCTCTGGGGGAAGAACTTTTTTCAAAAATCCACCCTGAGCCCTGCTCTGACACAGCTCCAGCCATTCCCTGGGTCCTGTCATTGCTCCCAGCACTTCCATCCACCACAGAAATTCCCTTCTTGGCTTGCACTGGGCAAATTTTAACTCACACATTGTCATTTTCTCCTTTGCTGCTTCCTAAGAATCCCCCTCCTTGTGACCCTCTGGGAACATTGATGGAGCTTCTGTGCAGCCTGGCATGAAGATCCACCCTGATTTGTGTCTTAAAAGCAACTGTGCAGCAGGAAATGCAGATGTTACAGATCCAAGAGCCATTGTCAGGTGGCCAAGCAAGGATTTTTGGTAAGCTTATGGTCTCCTTTGTGTTATTAACCATAGCCAAGATAATTAGGAATAGGAAAAAAATATATATATTTAGACTGCATTTTTCTTTATTCATTCTCTTTTGCCTAATTTATGATTTTCAAAGACCAAGGCCAGGATTTCCAAAGGCATCTTTGGAATCAGGCACTGAATTCCCAGTGGGATGTGGCTCCTGGTACTTCTCAGCTCTGTTCATAACAGGATTTATGTGTTTGAATTGAGATGTTTGGTTTTGCAGCCCAGGGACTGCATGTCCAAAATAATTCTACAGGCTGGTATCACAGGGAATTTTCCAAGTGGGGCAAAGATAATTTTTTTCTATAATTTCAACCATTTCTCTTTTGATTTGAGGGAAGCAAGCCTGTCATCACTTCAGAATGTTTCTGCTTTCTAATACAGGGCTTCAAATACCTGTAAATCTTAATTATGTCGTTTCTTTGGGCAGAAAGCATCTTGTTATAATAAACCCCAAAATCACTTTCCAAGGGCTGAATTTGGTGCCACCAGTTCTGAAGTGAAGCATTTCCCAGCCAGCCAATCTTCCCCAGTCCAGCTCATCCAGGAGCATCATTCCCATCCCGTTTTCCATGGAAATAAGGCAAGTGGGAGTCTCCCCTTCAGCAGAGTGGGGGGGAACAGAGAGCAGAGCTATTGGTAACTGTGTTTGCCTCACGTCACCAATTAGCCCAGGGAAGGAGGTGCAGAAAGAAGCCAGTTTGGGGCAGTGCTGCAAGTGAGGCTTTTTTCACCAGTGCAATCAGAAATCTAATCAAAAAGAAAAAAAAAGAAAAAAAAAAGACCAAAACCAAAAACCAAACAACTTCTCAAATCAAAAAAAAAATTTAAAAAAAATAATAAAAAAAAGAAAAACAAGAGAAAATAAAAGCAGAGGCTTGAAAGAATTGTTTAAATTCAATGGAACCAACCGTGTCCTATATGTGATGTTTTCATGGATGGATATTGGCAAGGTTTATTTACAAATTTGGGGTGGTTTTTTTTTTGGTTTTGAGCGGCAGGTGCACAACATACAGACGGAGACATGGTTTTCGCATTGTATGTTGATTGGATGGCGTGATTTCAGCAGGTAGATTAAGGAAAATAAAGAACAAAACAGGGAAACAAAAAGAGAAAATGAGTAATCAGGACAAGCAAAAAAGGAAACTCTGAAAATATCACTGGGGGAAAGGAAACTATCAGGGATCGGGGGAGGGGGTGTTATTTTATGGGAATTATATAAAGAAAAAATGCTTCAAACCAAAACAGGTTCTGAGATCCTAAAGGTAACACACACAGTGCAATAGTGATTTGCATTTCAGTTTGTAATGCAAATTGGGAGACAATTCACAGACACTTCTCAGGAGGGTTTGTTTAGGTTTTTTTGTTTTTTTTTTTTTATATTTCCAGGCATAGAAATAGATGTCAGTTTGCCAAACTCCCACTCAGGATGTGTCCACAAGGACACCCTCTCCTTAAAGCCACCTATTTTCCCTCGATTACTGAGAGGGTCAAAAAACTGACATTTGTGGGGTTTTTTTGCCTAAGGAAATAATAAAAAAAAAATACATATATATATATATATTCCACTACAATCACAAAGTAAATTACATATGACATGACTAAAAAAATTGAAACAAAGCAATTCATCAACACATTTCTTTTCCTTTTGTCTTTACTTTTCCGTGGGTTTAAAGTACCGATGGAGCAAAGCTGGTGGAAGCCAAGTCTCTCCAGAGGGGACCAAACCCCCCAGGTGAGCAGGTTTATTTACCTTGGAGAACCCTTTATAGCTGGAAAATACAGCCACGGGAAAAAAAAAATGTGGTGCTTTGTGAGCCTGATCTCGGTGTGACACCTGGAAAACAGCCCCTTCTCCAAGGGGAGCTGGAGGGCTCCAGGGGCTGCTGGTGCAGGACAGGTGTGGTGATGGTGACAAGAGGGCTGGATGCACGGGGAAGGACTAAAAAGAGCTGCCACCCAGCTGAGGGGAGGCTGGGGCTGAGGAGGGCAGATGGAGAGGAGGGAACTCTTCTGCTGGGCACACAGCTCTGGGGGGTGAGGAGTCAAGACCTGCTCTCCTCTCTGGGTATTCTCTGCACCCTGAGAGAGCTGCTGCACCCCTGGTCACACCCTGAGAAAGTGTTCATCCCCAGCCTGAGTTGCTGCTCTGCTTTACCTGGGAATGTAAAAAGGTTGGGAATACCAGGACAGGTTGGGCAGGGGCCGTGGGATGAAAGGTTTGAGGCCACACACTGGGGCTGTGCTCTGGGAATGAGGCACCCACCGATCCTCCCTTCAGTCCCTGCTCTCTGCAAACACCGTGTTCCCATCACTGCATCAGGCTTTTCAGCCCTTTTCTGCATTTTTAATTGGATTAAGTTGTATTTAAGTGACTCGGGTGCAACTTCATTTTAACAGATATTACAGAGGTGGTTTAAAGTGCAGCTCTGCCAGAATGTACCTACAGATATCTTTGGTTCCACTTTGCAGGCAGCAGAAAGGTGCTGGCGTTGCCAGGCAGATGTGGGACCCCTTGGGTTACCCCTGCTGTGTTTTGGGTGAGAACACCCCTTGCTGCAGCCTGTCATGGAGCCAACCACACGGGACAGCAGCAGAGTGCTGGGGCCTCCTGCTTGTCTTCCATCCTCAGGACTGGGAGGGGAGAACCATAAAACCACAGAATGCTTTGGGTTGAGAGGGACCTTAAAGTTCATCTCGTTCCACTCATGCCACGGGCAGGGACACATCCCACAGGGCCCATCCAACCTGGCCTTGAGGCCAGGAAGGCTTGTAGTGTTAGTGGAGACCCTGGTACAAGAGCACCTCCACCTCATTCCACTGGCTGAAGAACAAACTGCTCCGTGAGGGGCGTCCTGACAGCTGCCATCATTTGCTGCCACTGGTAATTCTGTCAAAAATGTGATTTTTGGGGCACCACTGCAACCCCCCAGTGGGGTGACTAAGCAGTGGTGCAGAGACCTGTGCATCAGTGTCAGCTTTAAGCAAACTAAGCCCCCTCAGCCCATTGTCCCTGCCTGAGGCTGGGATGGAGGTGGCAGGGGGTGCTGGTGGGGATGGCAGTGCTGCTGCAGCTGGGACTGGAGAGACATCAGGGAGGAGCTGTATGAAAGGAGTGTTGAAAAGCAAGTCTGGCAAGAAGGTGGGATGGGTGAGTGACCCCTGGACATTCTCTGTCTGCAGGGAAAAGCCTGTGGGAAGGAGACATGATGGCTACACAGAAATCAGAGAAGCAGGGAAGCTTTTAGGTTGGAAAAGATCTCTGAGATCATCAAGTCCCCAGCACTGCCAAGGCCACCTCTAAACCACCACATCCACACAGCTTTTAAATCCCTCCAGGGATGGGGACTGCACCACTGCCCTGGGCAGCTGTGCCAGTGGCTGACCACTCTTTGCATGAAGAAATCGTTCCTAATATCCAACCTAAACCTCCCCTGGTGCATCCTGAGGCTGTTTCCTCTTGTCCTGTCAGTTGTTACTTGGGAGAAGAGGCTGACCCCACCTGGCTGCTGCAGAAGGGGAATATTTAGAGAGAGCAGAGCTCAAGCAGGTCTGTAGACACAACCAGAGGACCAAGAGAGCAGGGGCTGGAGTGGTACTGGGCTTTTATATTATAGAGATGTTTGTGATCAGCTCCATATTGGACACTGTGGCAGGGGAAGGTGTCAACCTGCATAAGAAGGTCCTCTCTAATGTTTGACTTAAAAGAATCTGGCTACTCATAAACCAAAAACCTCTTCTTTTCCTGGGAGGAGAATGGAAAGGCAGATAAGTGCTTGGGAGCTTGACCCTGTTGGAGTTACTGACTGGGTTTAAGGGTAATTCACTCCAAATTGCTGCTGCCTTTGATGCTGGAAACCAGAGAAATCCCTGTGGAGGGGAAGGGTGATGCCATCAAATTCATAAATGCCTCACAGCCCAACCTGATCAGCCCATAGCCAACTTTCCAGATGCCAGGCACCCTCACTGAGGCCATCCCGTGGGAGCTGGAGGGAGAGGCAGTGGCCTGTTAACTGAGCAGGGAATGGGCAACACCCATGGCTGCAAAACAGCTCCACGAGGAGGATTTTAAGAAGCAGCACATGGGCTTGGTGTTGTGAAGGAGACACCTTCCTGTAGGGAAGACACCAATCTCAGAGAGAGCAGAGGCTCCTCATCCTGTGCTGCTTCCTCCCAGGAAAAGTGGCCAAAGGAAGGTGGAGGAGAAGTGTCAGTTTCTATTCGTGGCTCACTCGTGAATCTTGTCACAGATTTTCAAACCCCAGCAAAAGTTTGGCAAGAAAAAACATATCCCATGGCAGAGGGAGTGGAGACAAGCACCCAGTGCCTGCCCACAGCACTCAGAGAGGTGGCACCCAGACTTTGGGTTTGTTCTGAGTAGTTTAAACCTGCCTGCACTGAAAACAAAAGGGCAGTTCAAAGCCTGGAGGAGGATTCACCAGCTGGTAAATGAACACTTGTGTGGGGAGTAAAACTTTGGGGTTTGTGTGGGTTTCTGTACCAAGGGTAGGTAAAAATGTATTTTGTAAGGAGCAGTGGTATGGTCTTCACCACCATCTGTAAAGAGCACAGTTCTTAGCACACACAGAACAGATCTATCAGCAAATCCCAGGAGACTGAGAGAAAAAAAAGTTATGGCAGAGTTCAAATTCATCACATACAGATACAACATGCACTGGGAGAGGAGCAATTTATAAATTGGATAATGTCAGGGTGTCATGGCTGGAGTCAGATATTTGCTGCCCTTATGGAAAAATCCTTTAGAATTTAATAATTTCATGGCAAGTCGTGTGATCTGCTGGGCTCATTAGCAAGGAGACAGCTGTCCCTATAGGGCCGGCCAAAAATCCCCTGGGAGAGTTGTTTGCTTATTAAATTTTAATTTGTTTATTTAATTAATTGGTTCTTAATGGCCCCACGGAGATTTGTGCATGTGACAGCAACACTCCCTGAACCCAGACTGTGTGGGATCTGCATTCCCATCACCTCTGCCTTTCTCACTCCTCACCCTCACCCTGCCCATGGCCAGGCAGGAGCCCCGAGGGCCACGAGGGGAGCGTGTGTGTGCCCTGCAAAGCACCTCACACCATAACACAGCAGAGCCCTTTTGGGGCTTTCCCCTCTATTAAATTCCACAGGATTTTTCCCATTAATAGGCAAAAAATGGCCTGGGGACAGATTTGCTGAAGGAGAAAGAGCTGCTTCCTGGCAGAGGCAGCGGCACTGTCGTTCTCATCAGAGCCTCTCACACGAGTCTTTGGGGCGGGCAGCTGTGCTCAGCTCCCTGGAAAGAGCAGAGCTGATGGGAACTGGCTGCCAGGTCACCCAAGGACATCCCAAATCCCAGAGGGCAGCTCTAGGGAATGAGGCTGGTAGAGGGAGGAGGTGCAATGTCTTGACAGGGCCCGGCTTTGTTTGCAAACGGAGCGAACGGTACTTACCGCAATCTCTGTTACTAAAATATCAGTAATACTTCCCAACACTGTGACAAAATCAAAGACATTCCAGGCATCTCGGAAGTAATTCTGCCAAAGGAAAGCACAAGGGAGGTGGGGGGGGGGATAGAGGGAATCCAGGGGTTATTTCTTGGTTGTTTTTTGGGTTTTTTTTTTGGGGGGGAGGGTTGTTTTTAAATGCACGTGGAGGGAGGAAGGGGGCGAAGGTAAAGGAGGAAGGCACGTACCAGCACACCAAAGGCAATGATCTTCAGCACACATTCCATGGAAAACATGGATGTAAACACGATATTCAGGCATTTCAGCATTTCTTCATATGCTTCTGGAGCATCATAGAACTAAAGCAGGATGGAAGAAAAGCTGTTACTGGAGGATCACGTGCAGGATGAAACCTCTCTCCCAGCTGGCTTGCTCCTGCGAGTTTTAGTGTCAGATTTTGTGCTCAGTTTAAGCAAGATTTGGGGTTGCAAAAAGTTATTCATGTCTCTCCAGAAGGACACTCCTCCCTACATCCTATCCCAGATGGAGATATCCCCAGAACTGGAGCTGCTGGTGGACATCCCCCTGTAAGCACAACATGGGCCAGGAGGGAGGAAGGGCATTTTCCAAACCAGAGGACAAGTGCAGCACTGTGTTTCATTCCAGAGGACCCTAAGAATAAGGTGACCCCATGACTGTGAAGATACTTTAAGACAGGCAAAGGAGAGGAGGGAACATCATACACAATATGCCTCCACCTGCATCTCCCTCCTGAGCACTGTGGATCACATCCCAGAGTTCTGATGATGTCGCAAAATTGAGTCACTTCATAGAATCACAGACTGGTTTGGGTTGGAAAGGACCTTAAAGTCCATCTCAGTCCACCCCCTGCCATGGCTGGGGACACCTTCCACTAGGCCAGGTTGCTCCAAGCCCCTCCAACCTGGCCTTGGACACTTGCAGGGATGGGGCAGCCACAGCTTCTCTGGGCCATTCTTCCCAATATCCCACCTAAACCTCTTCCCTTTCAGTTTGAATTTCCTCGGCATGACCGGATTTTGAGCATCCCCAAGTCATGGCCCTGCTCTGCAGCAGGAAGCCCAGGCTGAGCTGGAGCTCAGGACCTGCAGAGCCCAGTTCCCACCCCACTGAAGGAGCCAAACCAACACCGAGCATGGGAATGTTCACAGGATCCCATCACAGCTGAACCACCTCCCTTTGGGGTTCATGAAGGAATCCCACCAGGAATATGAGGAGCGGTGGTTGCTCCTGTTGATCCCCCGCCTCCACCAGCTCTCAGGTCAGGAGTACAAATCCTCTCCATCCACCACCACATTCAGCACCCAAAAATTGCCCAGGATTCAGTTAAGATCCCACTGACCTTCATCATGAGGACGATGGTGTTGAGGGCGATCATGACCATGATAAAATACTCGAAGGGAGGGGACACCACGAATTTCCACATCTTGTACTGGAAGGATTGCTTGTTCTGGGGCATGTACCGGGTCAGGGGCTTGGCACTTATGGCAAAGTCTATGCAGGCCCTCTACAAAACAGAAATGGGGTGAAAAATGACAGGAAAAGGGCTGGGAGTCTCCATCCCTCGGGATAGGGTTGGGAGAGCAAGCAGAGAATTCAGAGGGTGGGATTTCTAAGTGGCTGCTCCTGTAAAATCCAGCAAAGAATCCCCAAATCATACCAAATGTTGCTGGGATATTAAACCCCCAACACTCCTATGGTCCCCTGCAGTCCTAGGAGACCACCTTCCATCAGAGCCCAGATCCTGGTAGGTCCCAATCCCTTCCCTAAGTGGTTTTAAATCCAGGGGTTCACTCCAGAAAACACCGAATTCCTCCTGATGGGTAATTGTAGAAACAAGGGGGGATGTTATCTAAAGTAAAGATGTTATCTGTGGGTTAAAAAACTTATTGTGAGACTCAGGTGTGTTCTCACACCTGCACAGCTCAGAATGTTTCATAAAATGTGGGCTGAGCCCAACTAATGAATTAACCACCAAATAGCTCTGGGTGAACTCTCAAAGACCCCCTTAATTGGCTATTTCTGCTCACATTATTAAGAATATAAAACTGCATTAAAAATTGGTTTCTACCCACAAGAAGTTTTGATTCTGGAGGATTTAATTGTCCCATTTTCGAAACCTTATATCACTGCACTTTCTGCTCAGTTGAAAAATAACATGGGTTAAGCATCTCTAAATATTCTGCTTTATTTTGGACTTTTTTGTCATATGGACAAACGAGGAACTAATTAATAATTGAATAAAAATTCATCTCTTTTCATCAAAAATCAGGTTCCACTTTCAAGGTGCATGAAAAGAGATGGTTCTTTGCACAACAGGTCGTTGAGGCTGTGGGACCCCAGACAGAGGATGTTGCAGATGCTGGAAATCTGCTTGGGTTCAGAAGGAAACTGGATACATCCAGGGAAGGAAGATTGACAGATGACACTAACTAAATTAAAAACATGTCCAGCTCGGGACATTCCTGACCTGAAAATGATGGGATTTGCTGGAGCATTCAAGAAAAGCCTCTTATCTTAGTCTTACACTGTTCTCAAGGCATCTACTTTTGGGGGAAATCTCAGCCTGGGGAGAGGAGCTTTCTCTGGGGAGCCAAAGCAGTTGTGGTTTGGTTTCTAAAAGGCCAAAGATTTGTCTCCTTTCACACCCACATTCTTGAGCAAACATGGAATGCAGGACTGGTTTGGGTTGGAAGGGACCTTAAAGCTCATCCAGTCCCATCCCCTGCCATGGGCAGGGACACCTTCCACCAGCCCAGGTTGCTCCAAGCCCCCTCCAACGTGGCCTTGGACACTTGCAGGGATGGGGCAGCCACAGCTTCTCTGCCCAACCTGTGCCAGTGCAGGTCCATGGTCTCTTTGCAGCAGAGCTGTGGCCCAAGGGGACATGTGACATGTGACAATGGTCACTCGGGGGCTTTCCCTGGCTTTGTTTCTATGCAAAAGCTGACAGTCAGTCATTTGTTTGATCTTCACACCTCAAACCCTCAGATAACCACTGCTCTCCACCCCCCTGGGCACAGGTGAGATGAAGAGGGAGCTTCCACTGGTGCTCTGAGCCCCCCAGGTGCCAACTGTGCATTCCAAAGCCGTGGGTACCTCGTTTTTCTCGAGGCTGCACTCTGACATCACTTTATCTCCTTGCTCTTGGAAGGTGATGATGATTAAAGCCACAAAGATGTTCACAAAGAAAAAAGGGAAGACAACAAAATACACCACGTAAAAGATGGACATTTCCATCCTGTAGCCAGGGCTGGGACCCTGCTCCTCGTAGGTGGCGTCCACCGAGTGCTTCAACACGCTGCAATCAAGGGCAGAGAGAGGAGAAAAGTCACCAAAAAGCACCGTGAAGCACCTCAAAGTCACTCACTGGCCTTCACTCAACGTGGAGGGTTGTCCACATATGCTCAGGTCAAACCCCTTCCCATGTGTATGGCTGGGAAGGAGTTTTCCTTGAGGATATTTTTATAGGAAACCCTTCCTGGCCTCACCATTCTGCAGAATGATGGAGATTTGCTAAGTACAGATCCACTGATCCCCCCTGGCCAAGGGGAGAGGATGCAGGGGGATCTGGCTTCTCTTCTCTGGTCAACAGGGGTGAAGGGAAAGTGGGAAAAGAGAGGTATTGATGATGTCTGAGGAGGGGAACACAGTGAGGGACTGGAAAAGGGAGACTGCTGCTGGTTTATTCTTTATTTTCACAGAATATGCTGAGTTGGAAGGGACCCACAAGGGTATTTTATGAAATAGTTGAACGTGGAAGACAGGGAAACCCTGACCTCAAATTGCACTCCACGTGTCCCAGCAGCAAAGTGTGCCAAAATAAAGTCACATGCTGAGCAGTAAATATCATTTGGGGACTGTCATACTCTCAGCACAGGTCACAATACTTTTCCCCCCTCGTTTTCTTACATTTCCACGAGCAGCTTTACACCTGGCAAAGGTGGGCAAGTCCAAAAGCCTGAAGCAAGTACTGAGAACTGCCTGAGCATCAGAAGAACAGCGAGAAGAACGCAGATTTCACCCAGTGCTGATTCAGCCAGCGATCACACACAGGAGGGAAAAGCTTAGCTGAGCAAAGCCTCTCCTCATTTCCCACTTACAGGCCCCTCAGAGCTGTGGGAAGGTGCCTTCACCTCCCCAGCCGTGCCCCTGCCACGGGTGGGTACTCACGTTGGCCACCCTTCCCCCGTGGACACGGTGAAGAGCGTGAGCAGAGCCCAGAGCACGTTGTCATAGTGGAACTCGTATTTTTTCCATTCCCTGGGCTGAGCCTCCACCTCATTTTTTTCATAATCGAGGTACTGACCCCTAAGAAAAAAGAGATTTGGAGCAAATGAGGGAATGAAACCCAAATCAGCCGTTTCTTGTGGGTCACTGGGGAGCATCCAGAAGCCCCAGTGGCACAGGGATTAAAGGCAGCCCCCCTAGGCTTGTGACAAAATCCAGGCCAAATTTTTGAGCCATTTTCAGCCACAGGAACTGCATCTGAGGTCTAGAAATAAAAAAAAATTGTAATCAGGGCATTCAGCCATTCGTTAGGCAAAGCCAGCAGTTAACAGCTGGTCCCCAAATCGTGTGACCCCACAGAAAACTGTGCTGCTTCTTGGGGAAAAGGATCTGGTTCCTACTTCAGGGTTGGAACTAAATCCTAAAGGGGTCTTGTTTTAGGGGCCAAGGGACCTGGCATCTGGAGAGCTGCCCTCCAACCTACACCTTTGTGTGATTTCTTTCCATATTTACATCATTCCAAATGTATTTACATCATTGCAGGGAAGTGACAGCCCCTGTGACTGCTGGGATCCCACCAGGGACAGGCCCTGCATGCACGAGGCAGCAGGAGAGGGATGGGCAGAGCTGGGCAGTGCTGAGGATGTGCTTTGGGTGCCAAGAAAAAAGGCAAATGAGGAAGATGCACACTGAGGTAACACACCTTGAGCCTGCTGGAAGGGCAAAACATGACAGGGCTTTTAAGGTATTCAATCCCTTTTCTCACTAATTAGGAGCTCTTTGACTTCCTAAGCTTCTGATTATTCAGTCATTATGTTTTTCCAGTTCGTAGGAGTTGTAAAAATCAAGGCAACAGGCGGAAAGAGGAGTCACACTGTCAAAAACCCTTCAAAGACCCTTCATTTAAAAATCACACCTAGACCTCCTTGGGAGGGAAGGTGACTCCCCTGCATCCTTAAGCATTTAGGGAAGCATTTGCTGGATCAGAGCCAGCAATGACACAGCTATTAAAGAAGAAAAAGGAGAATTCACCTCTAGGGTAGCTGTGCTGAAGTGTTGCTCTCACTTACAGGAGTCTCTTGGTGCTCAGCAGCTGATGCAGCTCTGGATGAACCTGAGGAGCTGCTGCTGGAGGAGGAAAGTTGCTGCCCACCCTGGCCCTGCCCCCAGCTGTACCTGCAGTCCTTCTCCAGCTCCTTGGACTCGTCAGTGCAGTAGAAGAATCTGCCCTTGAAGAGCTGCACAGCAATGACGGCAAAAATGAACATGAAGAGCATGTAAACGATGAGGATGTTGAGGACGTTCTTCAGGGAGTTCACCACACAGTCAAAGACAGCCTGGGGGGGGAGGAGAACAAGGTCAAGGGGTTGGGAGAGAGGAAAAGTGCATCCAACAGCTTGGCATCCATCTGACCACACTTCATACACCCCTGGAATCACCGGTTTGGGTTGGAAGGGACCTTAAAGTCCATCTCATTCCACCCCCTGCCACGGGCAGGGACACCTTCCACTATCACAGGTGGCTCCAAGTCCCATCCAGCCTGGCCTTGGACACTTGCAGGGATGGGGCAGCCACAGCTGCTCTGGGAATTCCACCCCAGGGAAGAATTCCTTCCCAATATCCAACCTAAATCTCTCTCCCTTGGGAGCCATCACCCAACCCTCAACCCATGGGTGGGTTCATGGAACTTGCCCACCAAGGGTTTGCCCAAACACATCTCAAAGCTGTGAGAAATAACTCCAGCTTCCTTCATCTCCTGCTTTCTTGGCAAGTTTGGCTGTGCCACTGCATTTTCTGGTGCTGCCTATAAAATTTATAAAGACAATCACAGCTTGTTGAGATAAATATTCATCCTAAACAAACACTCCCATGGCCAATTATGAAATGAAAATTGTACCTGTGTTTATTTTACTCACTTACTGGATAAGTAAAAACTGCTTGAATAATATGGAAAATATACCAGATACAAACCAGATGCTTTGAATAATATTTTTCTAAAGAACTTTCTCTCAAAATTGAGTGTGACTAACCCACGTGTCACATCTGAACTCCCTGCAAAGAACTCCTCAAAGACATTTATTACTTGGTTATTAGTCCCTGATTCAGTGTTACAAGTAATTTGCAGTTTGATTTTAGTCTGAGAAGTTGGTCATCATAATAGAAATGGAGTGGTCTTACTGCCCAAGCTCAGGGTTAGCACAATAGGAATGGAATGACTAATTCCCAAAATTACACTCCTGAAGCAACCCAGAAACCCTGAATTAAAACACTGGGAATATCTCTGATCAGCCCATTAATCTTGCTGATTGTTTCTCACAAGACCACATCCAGAGGGAATAAAAAAAAATAAATTGAAATTGTCCTGTTTCTTGTTATTTGGGAGCAGAGCCCGACCACCACCCTGGCTCCCCCCTCCTGTCAGGGATTGCAGAGCCAGAAGGTCCCCCCTGAGCCTCCTTTTCTCCAGGCTGAGCCCCCCCAGCTCCCTCAGCCGCTCCTGCTGCTCCAGCCCCTTCCCAGCTCCGTTCCCTTCCCTGGACATGCTCCAGCCCCTCGGTGTCTTCTGCCCAAAACTGACCCAAGTTCACTTCAAAACCCACATAAACACAACTTCTGCTTCACAGAAAGATTTCTGAGTATTTCTTCAGAAATTAGAAAACCACTCTGTAAAACGGCTTGAAAATCAGAATTCAATAAAATCAAGTGTTCTGTGTCCTGCTGGAGGACTGAGCCCCTGCTGACTAATTTTTTTTTTACCTCAGAGCTTTACCTTTGAAATTTCTAACCAAATGAAGACCATTTTCTGCATTCTTCAACATTAATGTTCCTTATCTTTTCAGAGACATTTAGTATGCATAAAATCAGAATTATTTCAGCCAAAAAGCAATGAGCTGACCCTCATTTTGATGTGCAAACAGGAATTGTCAGACAAAAGCACCACTGCTTTCCCCCCACCTCTCACAGAATATTCAGTAGGTATTCAAGAGTTCCCAAACCTCAGAAATTATTGAATTTTGTTAACTCCTTCCCTTCTCTGTTTCCAGGGAGTGGCTGTACCTCAGAGTGTTGTTGAAATGGTGTTGAATGAGTAGCCACAGGTCACTATGTTTATTTTAATTTGTAGCTTAGAGGTGAAAAGGTACAGCTCTAAAACCCTGGACTATGGATTATTTCCTAGAAAGATGAGCAGATTAAAACTCCTCTCACAGCAGTGACATTTCTCTTTTGACAGCCCGTGGAAAATCCTGCAATATTCATGTTAAACTCTCCAGGGAAAGTCAAACATTCCAACCCCCCATTTTCTCCTGTATCATTTCTAAGAGCATCCCACTTACGAACTGTAATTTAATTTATTTGAGGGTGCTTGTTTTTTTTTTTTGTCTTTTCCTTTTTTTTATAAGTTTTATTTTCGTGTGGGCTCACAACAATTTATAACATTGCCCACAATGTTTGCAAAAGAAACAAGTGTTTGACATTTGCTAAACATCTGCACAGCTATTTTTACCGATCTGGCAAAGGGATTAATTGCAACGAAACCAAAGGAGCAGAAATAACTTGGGTTGGGTCCATCAGCTTCTACTCAGATCAGTCACAAAGCTCCAGAGAAGGAAAAAAAAAAAATGGGGTTATTTTCTAACCTTTAGTTTTGGCAGCCGTTTGATGGTTTTCAGAGGCCTGAGGACCCGCAGGACTCGCAGGGACTTGATTGTGTTGATGTCCTTGCCTTTGGTTCCTCTGCAGGGGAGAAAAGGCACAACAACAACAATAATTTGGTCCTCAGATCGCTAACCTGGATATTTGTAGGTACCCAGTGTGGTGGAATTGGTTTGGTTTGGGTTGGGTTTTTTTAACAGGTTTTGGGTCCATCCTCACCGTGGTGCAGATGAGCCCCAGCTGAGACGTGTCTGCCGTGGGCAGGACATGGTCCTGGCACTGCTCACCACATCAGCCTTCTCTCCCTTCCCAGCTACTCACCGAGCATCCCCCACGATCTGGGGCCCTTCCTGCCCCGACTCCACACCCAGCCAACACTTCCTGCTCCAGCCACCAGGACAGGAGGCTCAGCACGTCCATCCCAGCCCCAGGAGAAGGGACAAAGTCACACTTGGCTCTCCTTCCTCCCGAGTGAGTGAGGCAGGAGGAGGTTTCTCCTCTGGCAGGAACACTGTGCCTGGACAAAGCAGTGACCAGAGGGAACAGGAGCCTTCCAGGTGAGGGGCAGAGCTCTCCTGCTCCATGCCTGGGCCCTCACCCTTGAGTGTCTCTTAGACATGCTACCAAACCCATGCAGGAACATGTAATAATGCAGCATATTACATGCCTGGAACGCTGCTGGGGCAACTTCCCCCTTAGGCATGCAAGGTGCTGTAAGTCACAGTCTGGCTTTAGGTTTGGTTAAAACTCAGTGCAAGGCTTGAGAAGGTCCCCCTTTGTTAACAGCAAGAGGGTTTTTTGGGGGAAGGACAGAGGTCCTTTCCTCGTGCACTTCCAAAAATAAATAAAAAAATAAATAAATAAATAAATAAATAAATAAATAAATAAATAAATAAATAAAGACACAAGTTACATCTTCTTCCAACCCACCAGCAAAACAATGACATTCCCCTTCGGTTCACATGAAGTGAAAAATGGGATGAAAGTCTGTCACAGGGTTTTATTCATGAGTGTGGGTTTGGGTCTGAGGCTGCATTGAGGTAACACAGGTGTGAATGAGTAACAGGTGGAACAGATGCTGAAACACCTATTCTGTGCTCTCCCAGTTGGCTCCTTCTCCAAGAGGAAAGAAATAGAGGTACAAGTGACCCAAGAGACCCCCAGGAGGTTTGTGCAGGACCTGCAGGTCTTCCCCCCCCACCTCTGGCACCCACACTGTGCTCCAGGAGAAGCACCAAGAGTGCAGGAAACCACCCAATTTTGTGCTGACTGACCCTGCTCAGCCCTGCAAAGTGTCTTTTTGCAATCAATCCACTGCCAGAAAGCTGAGAACTCACTGCTGACACCAGGACTCAACAAGCTGTGAGACACAGGAATGTTTGGAGGGCCATGGGTTGGATCCCAGTGACATCTACCTTGAACACAAATTGCCTTTCCAAAGGATTTAATAATGGAGAGGTACCATCCTCTCCCTCTCTCATCTTTCAGGGCTGCTCTAGGGCCATTTTAATCCATCCCAGGTGGATCCTGACTGCTGGCCTGGCTGTAAATCCGGGTGATGGAGCTCACACTCACAGAGCTATAGGACTGATTAAATGCCCCAAAATACCCATTATATATTCAAAAGAAATAATATTTGATTCTCATTAGAAACCCTTTAATCTGTTCCAGATGAAGCAGGCACTGCCAACACAGAGCTTTTCCTGGCTTTCTTTCCAGGTTTGAGCACAGCTGAAGGTCTGGCCCCTGCCTGGCTTGGCATATTTGCTCTCAACTCCCCCAACTCCCAGCAAGTACCATCCCTGCTGTGGTCACTGGAGCCATCTCCGTGTCACCACAGCTCATCTGGAGCTCACCTGCTCCAAGGGGGCTTTGTCTGAGCCCTGGCTGCAAACCAGTTTGTTCATCCTCTCAAGGAAGGACAATCAGTGGCAGGAGGGAAGCAGAAGGGAAATGGGTTGTAGGGAAGGAGATCCCAAAGGAGATCCCAGGAGATCCCAAAGGAGATCCCGAAGGAGATCCCACCTGGCCTGGCCAGCCTGTTCCCAGGGCTGATGGTCCCCCCCATCCCCTTGGCTGCCCCTGCTGCTCCCTCCACCCTCTCCCCTCTGGAAGGCCAAGCAAATCCCTGACATTGCTCCACGTTTCCCAGAGTTTCCCTCCATGAGGGAGGTGGCAGCTGAGGAAAGCAGAGGTGAGAGAAGAGTGAAGGTGAGACAGTTAAAGGCCACTTTGGGGCAGGAGGAGGGGAAATAAAAGAGGTGGGATACTCAGCCCAGAACTCTCCTCATTCTCCATCGTAGGTGGCCACGTGTCTGGTTTGCAGATTAACACACAGCCCAAAAAAACAAACTCAGCACTGCTCTCCTGGGCTCACCCAGAACTCCAGAAACTCCATGTGCTGCCTGCCAGTGCTCCCGAGTCCAGGAGACCCAGACACCTGCACCACAATAATTAACAACTGCTCTAATTAGGCCTCGTGGAAGGCAAAGGGTTGGCCCCACTCCTGAAGCAACAAACTCCCATGGACTCAAGATTTGCAGGGAGGTCAGGCAGACCTTTCTGTGGGCTCTTGGCTCCGTGGGGCAGAGCAAATCCTCATTGCTGCTTTTCCCTGGCATGGGGAGGTGTGTGGGTGAGTGCACCGAGAGCTGGGAGGTGAAGGGCAGGCAGTTCCAGTCACACACAATTCCTTCTGCCTCAGAGAAGGACACTAAGAAGGGCTGATTTCTTTTTCTCCATTCAGGCACTTAAGCAAATAAAGAGCGTGAGCCAATTAAATGTTAATGGGATTTCTGCTCTAAGCCATAGAGAGAATCCTGAAAAACATCCTTATTTCTTGTCACAGGGAGGTTCCTGCTCTAGGCCTGGTGCTCTGAACTGCACTGATGCAAATTGCATTTTAATTTAAAGGACACCCTGCAACTCTTTCAGCCTCTCAAATAAAACCCTCAGGGTTGTTTTTTGGTGTTTTTAAGAACCCCCTCGACCAATATTGGGGTTTTTTCACTGCTTTAATACAAAGCCAGATGTCCAACAAAATAAAAGGTCCAGATGGAAACAGGATTCAGTCAAAAGGTGTATCCAAGCACACATTTGACCTGAATATTCCTCACAACAAAAATAAATTGCTATGGAAGGGCAAGATCTCAGCTGACTGCAGAAGAACAACTGCAAAATTCAGAGGAGCTGAATTTTGAAGAAGAGCTGTAGAGGGTCACAGGATAAAGGCAGACAGCAAACAGCAGCCTAGAGACTTAAAAATAATAATAATTAAAAAAAATTCTATTAATAAAAAAATTGCATTAGATCAATTTTGAGTTGCATTAGGCCAGTTCTGGTTTGTTGGTTTTTTTCTGTGGCAGTTTGCTGCTTGTTTATTTAAAACGTTATAAAAATATTTTAAAAGAGCTTCCCAAAGCCTTTTCTGCCCCCTTTAATAAATCAAGGAGCCTTTAAAAATTGAAGAGTTCTTTCAAATGGAAGCTCCTTGTTTCTGTAGCTGCTGCCAGCAGCTCTGATTTCACGTAACATGGGCTTCTCACAACCGTGGCATCAAAAATTCAGGGCAGGGTGGAGCCACTGCCTTCTGTGAGCGCCCCAAACCCCCAAGGCACAGAGTGAATTCCTCTGTGAGGAGTAAAGGAGGTCACACCACTCTGCCACAAACACAAAGCCACCCTTTTCCCTGGCTCTAAATGCTCTGCTTTCCTCGAGAGGAGAAAGAATCCAGGACCTCAATTCCCTGGACCTTCCTTTGCATCCTTCTTGTGGCGTCTCCGCTGTGGAGGAGCCCACCCAGCTCCTGCCCGGCTGGGGATGAGGTGGGAGGTGACACAACTCTGTCCCCAAAAGCAGGGCTGTGCTGCCCTGCACCTACAGCAAAACTGCCACCTCCTTGCAGAGCGTTAAACAGGAATTTCTGACCCCCCTCCTTTGCAAGTTGCCCCTTCCAGTCTCTCATAAAACTCTCCACACTCTGTTCTCGCCTCAAAGACTTTTCAGAGCCGAGTTGCCTTGCCCAGGCTGCTCCAAGTTAGCCCTGAAGCTTCCAGCTCTGCTGTTTAGAGGTGAAATCCTCCAAAAAAGAGAATAAAACCGCTCCTTTAGACGTTATTATTAATATTTCCAGGAATTGCGACTCCCCCATCGGTGAGGCACCCACTGAGTCACCCCCTCAAACCCTCCTGGTTTAGATGTATCTGCGTATGTTTTGGTCAAGACTCTCTGATCTACTTGGCTTTCTATCCCTGCCTACAGAAAATCGGGATGAATGAGGATTGTTAAGGGAAATTTCACTGGATAATGGGTAATAAAGGGACGAAGGAGTCGATGCAATGGGTGGAACATGGGTTGTTTCCACAGTGGTGACTGTTGGACAGGCATAACAGTGCAGCAAGAGACAGGAATAACATATTACCCCATGAAACTCCTAGAGAGAGATTCCAGCAAGGAGAAGACAAAGAAAGAGCAGAGTCAATGACAAACAGAAACATCAGTGCCCCCCCCTGCACACAGAGATACCCCATTCCCTGTCCCACATCCCCCCCCCTCAGCATCCAGGAAAATACACAAGCACCAGCCCTTCCACTCACATGGAAATGAACCTCCAAATGTCCCTTTCCCCTCCTGACTTTATGTTTATGTCCACAAAAATAATGGAATTTCTCTTGGAAATGCATTGCTAAATGGATCAATTTGATTATTTTATTATCAGCAGCATCAGTGTTATTGTTTTTAACATCCCTCTGGGGGCTTTTTCTAAAATTTATTTTAGTTATTTTTTTAAAAAAATTATTTCTTTTTAATTATTTGAATTAATCAGCCCTTCCATTCCCATGAAAATAAACCTCCTTCCCCCTCCTGACACTCTGGGAGGCGCAGCCTCAACTCTTTGGCAAATGCTGGTGGATTTTCCAACGAGCATGGTGACATTCTGTGCACCTCCACCACCTTTGGGCTGTTCCACCACGCCCAGACAAACTCTTTGCTGCTCCTCAGCAGCTGTTTCTACCAACCAAGTACATTTTACACCTGGGGCTGATGGGTTTGGATGACAAATTTTGCTTGCAAAGTTCGCTTTAAGCTCCTTTATTTCTATTTCCCTCAAGACTCAAACATGTCTGTGTGTCTGTGGCATGTTTATCTCCACAAAAATAAAGGAATTTCTCCTTGAAATGCATTGCTAAATGGATAAATTTAATTAATTCATTATCATCAGCATCAGTGTTTTGTTTCTAGCATCTCTCTGGGGCCTTTTTAAAAAATTTAATTAATTTTTTTCCAATTTCGTTTATTTATTTTGAGCTGCTTTCATGCATTTATTTATTTTGAAACTCCAGTTAAGCACAGAACAGCTTCTGAAGAGGCAGAAAGCAGAGCAGCAGCTGGTTGGAGAGGCTGAGATGGGTTTGTTGAATCTTGCAGCCATGACTGATCCCATCTCCTGTGCTTAAACAAACACAGGCTGGTGCGATATTCCAGCTGGGAGCGTTTCAGGGAGCTCTGTTATTCCAAGCTTTTTAGTGACTATTCAGCAGGGAGCTGGTTCACACCCCCTGCACTGGACACCAGTGAGGTCAAGGACATGAATTAAATCACACCTTGCACGGGGTAATTGTGTGTTCTGGCAAACAAACCGGTAACAGCCACAATAAATATATTTATTTCACCGATGTGGGTGGCAGGGCTTGCTAGAAAAATCCAACTAAACAACAGAGATGATCCAGCTGATTCTCCAAGAGCTCATTGTCGGGATTATCAAAATTCAGTGTGTCCAGTTTAAGCAAGCAAAGAGGACAGGACTCTCTCACTTTGTATTCTGAGACCTGTTCTTCTTTGTAACGGGAACAGAGAGCAAATAATCTCCTGGGGAGTGACTGAATTAAACCAGAAACACTCCAAATATTCCCTGAACTGGACATCCCCTCCTACTGAAACGTGGACGTGGGGCAGAGGTTACAGGAATCATCAGAATCACAGAAGAAATTCAAGTTTTTCCAAGTCTCCCAAGGGGTTTAACCCGGGAGACAGTAACGAGGCAGGTTTTATGCATTCCCTGCCCAAGCCCTGCTCAATTCTCACTCCGAAGGTAAAATAGAAGCAGCTTGGGGCGCTGTTCTAAAGCACAGGCAGGGGACGTAAAAGTAATTTATTTAGAGGCTGATGAGGTGCTGTTAGATATTCATGGCCCAACAGAGAAAACCTGAGCATTGAAAAGGCTCCAAAAGATTAAAAATTATTCATTTTAATCCCTAACTTGACCAAAAGAAAAAAAAAAAAACCTTGTTCAATAGCAAGTCTTGTTCGAAGAGAAGAGGTTGTCAAGGCAAACCCTCACAAAATGCTCCTTCTCCCAGTCTGCCCTGAATGTTTGAATTCCTGATGGGAAAGGGAAATTCTCATTGACCTGGAGACTTGGGGAATATTGTTTTGCAAAGTAATACTTGTGACTGTGATTATTTTCCTTTTGTATGTCTCTTCCATTCAAAGGAGCTCTGTGTTAACTTGCTAAATGCTTTGTTTTAGGAAGGTTTTGCTTAGCCTGGCCACATCCAGCTCTAAAAGCTGTTCTATAATATATTCCATATGCAGGGAAAATAAGCCCCACACATGTCTAGTCAAGCTTAAGCAGCAGCTTCGTTTTGGGTGTTAAATTTTAGGTCAGCAAGACATTCACCAGCCCAGCAGTTCCATCTCAAGTTTTGCTTAGGACAGAGCACTCAGCTCCTCAAAAAAACTGATTTTTAACAAATAGGGGCAAAGTGTTTCTCGAGGGGAGGGCAACATCCCTTTGAAAAACTTCTGTTGGGCGTGACTTTCTCCAAAACTTCAATAATTCTTTAATAATGTAATTTAAATAATTAATAATTCTGGAGGATCAGGCACAGAATGCCCAGATCCCAATATTCCCAAGTGTCACTCCTCAAAAATCACACCAACGATGTCAAGCCCATCTCCTTCTGTCTATCCACTTCTTGGTCTTTTTTTTAAAATTATTATTTTATCCAGCATTTACGGAAAACAGAAGATCTAAAGCACAAATCTTAACGTGTAAGGAATTCTGACGCCTTAGAAAATGCAAAACTCCTGAGAAATATTCCAGGCCACCCTTCCCAGAAAGGACCCGGGAAGTTTTTTGTGCTGCAAAGGACACGTTTTCCACCGGCAGAGCTTGACAAGAGGAGCAGGGGATGAAGTTTAAAATAGACAAGACACGCTCCTGCGGTTCCCTGACAAAGGGGAACGCTTTTCTCATTAGCAATTAAACCCTGCTAATTCTCATTAGCAAGTTAAACAATCGCCTCGCCGCTAATCATCGACGAACAGGTGAGAGGAGCCTGGGCACGGGCTGCTAAATGGTCCTACAATTGCTCGGGGCTAATTTAGCAGCAGATTAAACTGGCCGAGCCCTGCGGGCAGTTTCCAGGTCATCTCCTATTGTTTCTCCGGGAAACATTTGCGAACAACTCTTTCCACGGCCCGGAAATTCAGGTGGAAAATTTCCTTTCATTGGTCCAGCTCTGAGCTCGCCGAGCTCTGCAGGACCTGCATTGCTCTTCTTGTGGCTGTCCCTGAGAAAAGAGCTCAAAGGGAAAGCTAATCCTCCTTTTGAAACAGCAGTTCCTCAGTGGCCGGTGCTGAAAATCCTCTAGGATATTAAGCAAGCACAGGGAATGTTGTTTAATGTCATAAAGACAGAGCTGTGTTTGAGGGAGGGAGCAATGAGCCTTAAAAACTGTGGAAATACAAGTTCCCTGAATGGGAGAGGAGAAAAGAGGAGAGAAATGCCAAGGTCTGTGAACCAGAAACACCCACAACTGCAGAAATAATGTTTTGCAGAGAGTTCACTGAGTTATCAGCTGATTTCATTAACTGCTTTCTCGCAGTAAGAGCAATTCTTAGGATGATGGCCCGGAGACACTGGACTGCCACAAACTGTTACAATATGTTCTTGAAAAGAGCTCGGCCAAACAGTCACAAAAATCTTGGCTCAGTGTTTGAAGGAGCAGTGAATGGACTCACCCTAAAGCTGGAGAATTTTCAAGAGGTTCAACAGCACAAATTTAGTTGGGTTTATTTTTTTTTCTTCCCCCCCCCTCCCCCCCAAGCTACGAGATGAAAACTGAGCATTTCACTGAGAAATGGGGCCACACATGTTATGTATCAACTACCTCTGTGCCAGCTCCTGCCTCCCCTGTGATTATTCCCTAGAAATTGGGATGTTAAGGGAATGTACTTACGAGAAGGCAAATGCCACCAAGGCCCCACTGACCACAATGAAGTCCAGGATGTTCCACAGGTCACGGAAATAGGAGCCAGGGTGGAGTAACAGCCCCAGGTCAATCATCTTGAGAGGACACACATGAAAAGAAAAGAGTTTTAATAAAACCTGCACCAAATCAACACTGCCAGGGTATAGGAGAATGTTCTTGATCAAATGGCCCTTCACACCACTGAGATGCTTGGCCAAGCTGCTCCTCTCTAAGAGGCACAAAGAGCTCTGCCAGAAATGACGCTCAAAAGTCAATAAAACAGAACCAAAAGCTCAAGAAAAGAGTCCCCACTGCAACCCAGACATGGATTAATCCGGGTTTTATTCTGCATCTCTTTTGCATCTTGCTCTGACAGTAAAACCTACCACAAGAATAAATCCTGACTTTATTAGGATTGTGCTTCCTGGAAAGTTGCTGCCTCACAGTCTCAGCAAAGCCTGTCTCCCTACTGAGTAAAGTCAAAAGATAAATCCTCAATTTTTTGAGATGTGACAGAGCAGGAATCAGTTGCTGTTAACATTCCAAAAGGAGAAGGGAAGATTCAGACATGTCTCGGTAAGGTCTGTCAGCTCCTGTGTCTTTAACCACACACTTCAGGCATTTCTTATCCTCTTACAGAGCCACAGCTACTGAAGATATCTTTATTTTCCTCCATAAATTGTGAGATTAAAGAAACCAGGTGAGTCACAACAGAAGGACATTTGGCTACTTCTGAGAGCTGTTCTCAAGTTAAAGCTTTTCCATCACTGTCACCTCTCCAGGGAGTTCTGTCCTGCTCCCCCTTCTCCAGCACCTCAGAAGTAGATGAATGTAAATTTAAAACAGGATGTCAATCTTTCTGCTTGGAGAAATTCTTACCTTGATCACCATCTCAAAGGTAAAGACACCTGTAAATATATAATCCAAGTATTTCAGAGCCTAAATGGGGAAGAGAAATGTGTGTTAGGAGAGTTTGGTTTGACACCCACAGACAAGTAGATTTGCTACTAATTCTTGGAGTATCCTACCATGCTCCACCAAGATAAATAAAACTTACCTGGTTTGACTTCCTCAGGCTCTGCTCTAGCAGGAGATCTTAGGACAATGCCCCATCCCTGGGAGTGTCCAGGGCCAGGTTGGACGGGGCTTGGAGCAACCTGGGATAGTGGAAGGTGGCCCTGCCCATGGCAGGGGGTGGAACTGGATGAGCTTTAAGCTTCTCCCAGCCCAAACCATGCTGTGATTCTCTGATTCTGGGTCAGCCCTGGCTGGTGACCCAGGGAAGCCTTTCCCACTGCTGAATTGTGTCCCAGCTTCACCACACACGTCACATCAGTGATTTCCAAGTTCTGAAACTCAGATGTGGTTGAAGCAGTGGAAAGGGACAGGAACTGTGAGCATTTTATCCTCCAGCTGGGATGGATCCACAAGGATCATCCAGTCCAACCCTCAGCCCTGCACAGGCCCATCCCCAAGGGTCCCACCCTGTGCCCCAGAGGATCATCCAAACCCTCCTGCAGCTCTGGCAGCCTTGGGGCTGTGCCCACTGCCCAGGGGAGCCTGTTCAGTGCCAACCACCCTCTGGGGAAGAACCTTTCTTAACCTCCAGCCTATCTGGAGAGTGGCACCAGCACATTTGAGTGTTCCCAAAGCGAGCTCCGTTTTTTCACTGTGTCATCCTCTGGGGTTGGGAACGGACAATCCACGTGCCAGGAGGAGCAGAGCAACGATTCCCTGGCCGTGCTGGTTGGTACTCACATCATTCCTGGGTGACTCAGCTTGGACAGGGTCTTCTGCAGCCAGGGCAATGCTGCTGAGGGCGATGACGATCAGGATGACCATCTCGAAGTAGCGCAGGTTGACGATGTAGTGGAAGAGCCGCCGAATCCTGCAGGCAAAACAAGCACAGGGGGAGGGTTGTCACAGTGGCACGACAGGCTGGCACAGGGACAGGGTTCCTCAGGAGCACGACCTTTAGGATTTTGATCACAGTAAGGGCAATAAAATAAAAAAAACCCACGAGCAATGGGTTGAAATTCCAGTTTGCAACAAAGGCGTGGTGAGATTTAAAGTAAGATTTAAACATCCCTGCACCGCTCCCTGCAAAGCAAAGGCATCTATTTATCTCTGTATTTATCTATTTATTTCTTTCTCCACTTATCAAAAGGGCACTGAGAGCTTCCAAGCCTTCAGACTCGATTCTACAAATTCCTCAGGAACACCACCTTTAGGATTCCTGTTACAGTAATGGTAATACAATAAAACCCACGAGCAACGGGTTTAAATTCCAGTTTGCAACAGATTTAAGGTCAGAGATTTAAACATCCCTGCACTGCTCTCTGCAAAGCAAAGACATCTATTTATCTCTCTATTTATCTTCCTATTTATCTCCCTATTTATCTCCCTATCTCTCTATTTCTCTCTCTCTCTCCAGCTGTCAAAAGGGCATTGAGAGCTTTCAAGCCTTCAGACCTGATTCTACAAATTATGTTTATCTCCTCCCCTGCCCTTCTCCCTTTGAACCCCCAGGTTAATGTCCTGTGAGTTCAAAACAAGGTTTGAAATCCTTTTAATATCAACTAATCCCTTTAAAATTGAGACACAGGCACTTGGAGACTCAGCTGAAACTGCCTTTGTGGCTGAGTATTATTCCTTCCAATCTCTCCCTTGCCAAGTATCTCTGCCTTCACTTTAAGATACCCTTTCTAAGCTGCACAAATACTTTACAGTAATATATTTGATTACTTTACCCTAATCTTTTTATTCACAAATCGTGCCCAAGAAAAGTGACAAATGCTTCCATCTGTAAGCAATCCAAAGCTATTCACAAATTTCAGCTAATAACTCTATCTGACCACAATTCACAAGTCCTTAACTGCACACAGAGCTCTACATTTGCACCAAATTTGTCAGCTGAATAAAGGACTTGGGCTCTGCCTGGGAATCAAATTACATATTTAACTCACCAACAACTTTTATCTGAGAATGTGTTTCAGCTGCTATATCCCATTTTCTCCAAGCAAATATCTGAGGAGTCAGAATTAAAGTCTGGTTTTTTTTGCACATCTACTTCCATATTCCTTCTCTTTGGCTTGCTGATGGATTCAGAATGAAAAAAAAGAGTGACAAATACCAGGGAAAACAGATTTGAAACAGGTTATTAGAAAATAACCTGAAGAGAAGTGCTTTTGTGGATCCCTTAACTCTGGCTATCAATCTGACAGGGGAAGATTATCATCTACGTGGCTCCCTGAATCCACAGAAGGGAAAGGCAACATTTTCCATAACATTTGTAGCTGTAATTCTCGCATCAACAAAAAAAAAAAGCTCAATCCATCAAAGAAACAACGAGGCCCTATTTTTAGACCTTCCTCATTCACAACCAGCAGCGGGATGCGGGAGCGTTTGTAAACTGCCAGCGGGGCTCGAGAAATCACTTTGCATCCACGGCTGCTCTCAGAGGGTGGTGGCTCTTGGAAAGGAATGCATTTTATTTATGCTTCTCTGCACTGTTTTTGCCCCCTGGCAGCACCCGGGTCATGCATCCCCCAGGATGGGATGTGTCAGAGTTAGAGCGAAGCTTCATCCTCCGGAAAGCAGAAAGACCTCTCTGGAGAACTTAACACCAGCCAAAACACCTGAGGGGATCCAGCTGGGGCTGCATCTTGCCCAGAGGAGGAAAAACAAGTTGCTGACATTCCTTGAGTTTGGTCTTGGTCTTGTTATTCCCCCTTGGCCCTGTGTTATAAAATGTTTTCTCTCCCAGTGAACTTGGGCTCTTTTGGTGCAGCTTTTGGGGGAGTGGGGGGTGTGAGCTGGAGAAAACTGCAGGGCAACTGAAACAACACAGCACATGCTGCACTGGGGGACTCAGGAGGTCATAACTGTAGGATGAGATGAGAGGAAATGAGCAGATATATGGAACAAAAAAGTCTTGCTTCTTCTCTGTCTGCCCCTTGTGTACTGGGGACCATCTTGCTTCCCACCTAACAGTGCTGCCTTAGCAGGCATTTTGCAGCTAAAGCTCATTTTTGGTGGTCACTCCCCAATAAAAGGCTTGAACTAACAAATATTAGAGAAATACTATGTCCTTATCCAGCCAGACAAGCTTCATAATCCTAATTTGGCTCCCCAGGGCAGTGGGCACAGCCCCAAGGCTGCCAGAGCTCCAGGAGCTCCAACACTCTGAGGGACAGGATGGGATTGCTGGGGTGTCTCTGCAGGGCCAGGAGCTGGATTGATTATCCTGGTGGGTCCCTCCAGCTCAGGATATTGTGTGATTCTATGATTTTATTCAGCCTCCAGGATCTACACTGAGCCACAGGGAAACAACCACCTCTGCTGCTCGGAGATCTCCGGCTTGGCTGAAGTTTCAAACTCCCTAAAAATGACTCACAGCCCTTTGTGCTGCCATTATTACAACCCCTGCTGCTCCTCCCTGGTCCTGCAGCCCCCCAGAGTGACACACTCAGCGTTCACAGGCCCTGAGCACGAAGCTCCCCACGAGGCAGAGCCGCCTGGAGCGGAGGAGATGCCGTAAATCCCAACAGATCCCACCAGCTGCGCTCTCAGCCTGGGTGAAGGAAAAACAGCCGTGTTTCCCCACAAGCTCAAGGTCTGCACTGATGTGAAGGTGCCAGGATGGAAAGAACAGGAATTCTAGCTGAGGAACCTGCAAGAATTTGCTGTCAGAACCAACCTCCCCAACGTGCTACTCCGGGTATCTTTTCCCAGCGACAGCCCGAATTCCCAGCCTTTGGTGATTTATGTGAACAAACTGCCCACCTGAGGGTCAGCAGGGCAGTTTGGATCTGCCTAAAGCATCCTGTTTTCCCAGTTCATTTATGTTTATTTTTATATTTATTTTTATATTTAATTTTAATATTTATTTTTGTCTATGTTTATTTTCCCCTGGCAGTTTATTCCCCAGGAAGGCCCAGCTGAACAGCAGCGTCTGGCTCACGTATTTCATATTATTTAATATTATTTAATATCTAAATGTGTTTGACTGGCAGAGATGGAGATAAAAGTGATGTTACTGTTCTGAATAACCAGTTCCTGCCACCCAAAAGTGGAGTTAGAAGGACTCACGGGTTTGTGGGGCTCAGGATGAACATGGAACTGTAAGGCAAGATTGGTTTAGGCCCATTTTTCGTCAGGTCATCGACGTCTTTCTTCTCCTCTGTTTTGCTCTCAAACTCCACGTTGTTCACTGAAATGGGAATTGGAGGGGAGAGAAAGGAGAGAGTTAAAATTGCATCCACAGTGTTCCCACAGGAGGCTCCTGCAACAGCTGGATATGCAAACAGTGCAGCTGGGAGAGCAAACAGCCTTTGGATATGTTGATTAAACGTGATGAACAATCATTTGATCATTATCCCTGCTACTTACACACAGTTCTACCCCACAACTGCTGTGCTGATGAGCAGTGGATCAGAAACAGCCAGGAAATGAAGCTGCTCAGTGCAGACAGACAAAGAAACCAGGCACTCATTTATCCAAGAGCTGCCAAAGTGGGGATGGAAAACCCTTTTTCAAACAGCACAAATTATCAGGGAGAGAGGATCAGCGAGGGATCCTTGGGAAGAGAACAAAAAGCAGGATATCTGAGCAGCCTCATAATCCTGTGTCTTCTGCCATAGAGCAGGAGCAAGGTTGGCTTTGGAACGTGCAGAAGTGCAAATTCATAGATGAGATTTAATAATTTTGGGGGCTAAAACTGCTGAACTTCCCAGCATTAGGAAAAGAGACCTGGAAGGGGCTTCCTGGAGTCCCTGGATCTGTGCCTGCCTCATGCAGCTCAGTTTTGTCACAGCTGTGCAAAAGGTGTTGAGCTTCACCTCCCTTCAGGTTTTTAATTTGCACACCCCCTTCTCTAAGATTGTTCCAAACCCCTCTCCCAAGGATTGGAAATTTTTCAGTTTTCACCCTGAGTTTACTTGCAATTTATGGGATAATTTACTGAAGATCATTTCCAATATATGAACTGGAAAACGTTTTATGCTGCAAATACTCTTCTTAGGCAGATACTCAGACTCACCCATTCACTCCCAGGACCTGGAGTCCACAATCCCCACCCCCTTAGAATGTGCCAGGTGCAGGGCTTTTATCACTTTTTATTTTATTCTGCAAGGAAATGACAGTTCCTTGTGTGTGAGTGACATGTTCAATAAACTCCTTATTGTATCTCCAGCCAGATAGTGAGGAAATGGGCAGGACAGATAAACTGTGATTGGCAGGAAGTCAGCATTGCAATATAGTAAAGTTACCATTTAAGAAGAAAAAAAAAAGAGAAAGAAGAAGGAAAAAAAAAAAAAGAAAAGACAAGTCTTATGGTTGACAACACAGTGAAAAAGTTCCTAGAGACTCTGCTTTTGGCTGTGCCCCTTGGAAAGCAGAGTCTTGACAGCCTGAAGGCTCAACTGGACCTCTTGGAGGTCACACTGCAATTTTCCTTGGCATCCCTAATCTCAAGGCTCTTCCTGCTGTGCCAGGGATCAGCCCCTGATGGTGGCTGGGGGGCTTCAGGGCACACCATGGGCACAGCGGTCTTGGGACCATCTGGAAAACTAAATCTACACTTACAGACCCAAGGCAAAGAGCTATGGAGAAGGACAGGCTCAGTCAGACAGGATCTGCTCCAACTGAGGTGCAGAGGATTGCCCAAAGGTCAGGAATGGCCCAGCCTGCAGGAACCTGGAGCAGCAGGATCACTGAGGACGCTGGGATGGCTGTGAGGCCACGAGGACCTGCTGCTCCACACTGAACCAGCCAAGAAGTGTGAATCCATCCTGAGGGCCTGAATGCAATGCCACCACCTCCCCTGGCCTTTGCTGGGGGGGGACCTGTGGCTGGTCAGCCCCCCAGGATGCCAGAGGAACCACAGCCCATCCCTGCTGGAGCAGGAGTTGGCAGCACAGCAGCAGAGGAAGGGGACAAAGCAGAGGACCTGCTCCTGTGCTCACCTCAGGCTGGTTTGCTGCACCAGCTGCTGATTTTCCTGCCCAGCCCTCAGTTTCTACATTTTGTTGGTTTTCTTGCTCCTTCATCTTTCTCTTCTGCAAAACCAGGATGTGCTCTGGGGGAGCCATCTCCAGGGAACCAGGATGTTCCTGGTGTTTTCCAGGGTGTTTTCCAGAGCCACCAGCTTACCCAGGAACCCATTCTGGGGTACCTGCAGGCTGCTTGAATTGTAGCATTGCTGGTGGCCAGGAGAGCCACCAGCTCACCCAAGAACCCATCTTGAGTTCCTGCAGGCTGCCTGAATTGTGGATCCTGTATCGACAGGTTCTCCTGTCTGCCTCTTGTGAGGATGCTGGTGGCAGGAGAGGCCCCCCCACCCAGTGTGTGCTGCCTCCTCCTCGAAAAGTTGGCTCTTTCCTGGCAATTCCCTAACAGAAAAAGCCTGGAGACACGGGCACTCACTTGGTATGACAGTGGTTTCCCCTGGTGGGGCCGTGATGGTGACGGGGATGTTCACAGTGGTGGTTTTGTCCAGGGGGGGTTGAATCATCCGCGTCACGTTCTTCTGGTTGTCGGCGTCTTCTGGCTGCTCAGGCACCTTCTGCAGGTAAGTGCTGGGCAGGGTGTGCACAGGGACACTCACACTCCCACTGGCCTCGATCTCACACTGGTTCTCCCTGAGGCAGAAGAGCAGTTTTCGGTAAATGTGGCGCAGGAAGGACTCAGAGAACACGCGTGTCTGACCCTGCACCCCTGTGAAACCTCTGGGTTGGGGTTGGGGTTTCACCTCTGGCTTTCACAGACTCTTCTCTGCCCTTTGCAGGACAACTGGCTGATAGCACAGGATGGGGCCTTTCCCTCTGAGACCTCCTGGGCCAACATCCAAGCACAACATTAAGATGGACTGTGCCACTGAGTGTCGCTTTGTTCAGTTTAATGAGCCTCATAACTGAGGTTCATAAGGCCCACGTGGCCCTGGCACGGAGCAGTGGCATTAACTCCCCGGCATCAGCTGGCTGCTGAATGAAGGCTGACATTCTGCTGCTTAATGCTCTCCTGAGGCCTTATTTAAATGTGGTGGTTCTCTTTCGCCCTCCTGAACCACTCTGTAACGCTGCTGTCAGCAGCTAAAGAGCTCCTGCTTTCCTCTGCAGCAGCAGCTCCACTTCAGTGAGCTGGAAAGTGAGCCTGTGCACATGAGCAAACTAAACAGCATGCAAAGTGTTTTGAAATTCATCTGAAAGGAAGATAATATAGACAGGAAAATTATTATCTCGGTGCCACTCACAGCTCTCCACGGTGACATGAACTCTATTCTAAAGAATCCCAGTGCAATTTCTTTTCCATTGGACTAATAAAGCTGAAAAGGCAATCTATCCTTCTTTATTAACTACTCCAAATGCTCCACCAGTACTATTTTTCTCATTTGACTTACATAAGAATTAAACCAAATGGGAGACATCGTTGTTCTTAATGGAAGGAGCCACGTGCTGGAACAACTGGTGGTGCAGCTGACAGGGCTCAGCATTAAAACAGAAAATCAAAGGGCTGTAAGCAAGACTGGGGGTAATTTTAAAAGATGTCCCTCAGAAACTTCTTTCAGAGGCTGTAAAATTCTCTGCTCTGTGTTATGTCCTAGAGGGTCTGTGGGCATTTGCATCAAGGATGTTTCCTTCCTTAAATGTGGTTCCTGTGGACAGAAATCAACTTTGGGAGCCTCTGATTGAAGCAAAACAGCACTGCAGGTTATGGTGGAAGGTGGGGTGAGCACAAGGACCAGAGGGAATGCCATGGGGAGGGGAATAAGTAATTTTCTGAAACACATCTGGGGTCTTATGGCCCCTGAGCCATCCCAGGGGTGAGTCTGCCATGTCCAGCCTGGCCTTGGACACTTCCAGGGATGGGGCAGCCACAGCCTCTCTGGGCAACCTGTGCCAGGGCCTGCACCACCCTCACTGTAAAAAAATACCTTCCCAATGTCCCTCCATCCCTTGTCCCCAGTCCCTCTCCAGCTCTCCTGGAGCCCCTTTAGGCCCTGCAAGGTGCTCTCAGCTCTCCCTGGATCCTTCTCTTCTCCAGGTGAACCCCCCCAGCTCTCCCAGCCTGGCTCCAGAGCAGAGGGGCTCCAGCCCTTGGAGCATCTCCATGGCTTCCTCTGGACTTGCTCCAGCAGGTCCATACCCTTCCTGTGTTGGAGGCCCCAGATCTGGACACAGGGTGGGCTCCAGGTGGGATCAGAGTAGTTCCCAAGGCGTGAATCCAAAATCCACTTACTTGGGCTGGTGGTTCCGGTGCTCCTTCTCCGCAGCCTCCGCCTCCTTCTCCCCGTTCTCCTTCTCCACCGACTCGTACGTGGACAGGGCCCTGTTCCTCAGCCTGTGCCGCCTGTGGGGCTCCTCCCCGTTCTCCCCCTTGGGCTCTCCGTCCCTGTTCCCGGAGCGGGACCCTCCGCGGTGCCGGGAGCGCCGCTCTCCGCGGGTGCCGTTGGCGGTGCCGTTGCCGTCCTTGCCCTGGCGCTCTGTGGAGTGCCGGTGCGTGCGGTGCCTGCGGTGCTCCTTCTCCCCCCCTTCGTCCACCGAGCCCCGCCGGTGGTGCCTCTTCCCCCCTTCCTGCCCCCTGTTCCTCTCGCTTTTCCCTTCCTTGCTGCCGCCCTCCACCTCCTTGCTGCGGCTCCGGTGCTGCCGGTGCCGCTCCTCCTTGTTGGCCACCGCGGTCTCCGCGCCCTCCTCCTTGGGCGCGTCGCCCTTCTCCTGCTCGGCCTGCTTCTCCTTCTCCCGGTGCCGGTGGTGCTTCCGTGGGGCTTCTGCCCCGTCGGCAGAGCTGCCCTTGGGGTGCTCCTGCGCCTCCTGCACGTCCCCGGGGCTCAGCTTGCTGATGTTGTTCCTGCCCTCGCTCCTGGGCTCCACCACCAGCGGCCGGTCCAGGTGGGTCTTCATGTCCGGCCTGATGTGCAGGGTGGTGGCGTAGCGGACCCGCTCCTCGGGGTCCAGCTCGTTGTACAGCGCCTCGCAGCTGGCTCGGAAGTTGTGCATCCGGATCTGGCTGGTCCTCTGCTCCCACACCGACTTGGATTTGGAGGAGTTCTGCTGCTTGCTGAGGGAGGGAGGGAGGGAGGGAAGGTGAAAAGTGAATGTCTGAATTTACGCCGATTCCCTGAGTAACAACCAAAAAAAACAAGGGAATTTTCAGCTGAGGTGGGGAATTAGAGGGTTGAACCAAAGGAATTGCAGGAATGGAGAGAGAATGGCTGGCGGAGAACATGAGCAGGGAAAGCCAGCGGGATCACCGGTGTTAGTTTGCCCACACACGCCTAAGGTGCCCTGGAAAGGAGTTCCCACAGCCCTCTGGAAAGGAGTTCTCCTGATTTCTACAACATGGAAGCATCAGGTAGAGGCTGAAGAATTAAAGTGTCAGCACAGAAATCACACACCCCAGCCAGAGCTTTGAAACAGCCCCCAAAGCTTCTCCACAATTAACAGCACCTTTTCCCCACCTGGAAACACCGGGATGAGCAAATTAGTGATGAGCAAGAGCAGTTAGACTGGCAGGAGGAGCGAGGGGAAGTCACTGAAGTCCAACCCCTGGCCCTGCACAGGCACCCCAGCAATCCCACCCTGTCCCTCAGAGCGTTGTCCAGACACTCCTGGAGCTCTGGCAGCCTTGGGGCTGTGCCCACTGCCCTGGGGAGCCTGTTCAGTGCCAACCACCCTCTGGGGGAAGAACCTTTCCCTGAGATCCACCCTGAGCCTGCCCTGACACAGCTCCAGCCATTCCCTGGGGGCTGTCACTGCTCACAGGGAGCAGAGATTCGAGTTGTCCCTCCTGAGGAAGAGGCAGACCCCGGTGAGGTCTGACCTCATTCTCCTCCTCTCCAGCTGAAGACACCAAGTGACCTCTTCTGCTCCTCTCACGGCCCCTCCAGACCCTTCACCATCTCTGTAGGCCAAGATGGAGATGAGGTGGGAACACCTTTATCCCTAGAGACACCTGTCCTCTCTGCCTGTCCCCTTTTATGGTGATACCTCCACTGGCATTGCCTCAGTCCTTGGATTTATCAGCACAGCACTTGGTTTCTGACCACCACACACAAAGGGCTCACCTACCCAGCCAGGGTAGGAAGAGAAGACTTTTCCCTTCCCTCCTAAAGACTGCAAATCAAATTCTGCTTTTGCATGAAATCAAAGTAAACCCTCTGCCTTCCAGCGTGGCATTCTGGATTTAGCCTGGTGGAGGATCAGCACCCACATTTTTCCTTGATGAAGCTTCTTCTAAAGAAGACAGGAAAGCCATTTCCCTTCCACCAGCCTGCTCAGACATCCCCATGTGCCAGATATCAGCCTGACCTCTGCACTTGTGGTGCAGCACCTCTGGTGCAGAACACAGAGCCTGCACGGGAGGAATGTGCAACTTCCTTACGCACTTTCTGGGCTCCCCTGACAGTAGAAAAAGCAGCTTTTGCGTGTCTGTGAGCTGGTTTGGACTGGCTGGGTGTGTCTCTGTGCACAGGCCCTGGGGAGGACACTCAGACACACTCGTGTAGCACAGCAGGAGCTGTCAGAAAGGCTTTGTGTCCCTGAGCTCTGCTGGGAATCAGGTCTTGACTGAATCAGAGAGCCACAGAACATGCTGGGTTGGAAGGGACCCACAAAGATCATCCAGTCCTACCCTCAGCCCTGCACAGGACCATCCCCAGCAGTCACCACCCTGTGCTCCAGAGGATCATCCAAACCCTCCTGGAGCTCTGGCAGCCTTGGGGCTGTGCCCACTGCCCTGGGGAGCCTGTTCAGTGCCAACCACCCTCTGGGGGAAGAACCTTTCCCTGAGATCCACCCTGAGCCTGCCCTGACACAGCTCCAACCATTCCCTGGGGGCTGTCCCTGGTCCCCCCAGAGCAGAGCTCAGTCCTGCCCCTCCTCTGCCCCTGCCCAGGCAGTTGGAACTGCAGTGAGGTCTCCCCTCAGTCTCCTCTGCTCCAGCTGAACACACCAAGTGCCCTCAGTGTCCTCACACGGCTCCAAATCAAGGCCCTTCCCCATCCTCGTGGCCTCCTTTGGACACTCTTGAATGGCTCCAGATCTTCCTTACATTGTGGTGCCCAAAACTGCCCCAACATTCCAGGTGAGGCCTTACAGAGGGTGCTGCTGCCTGGTTCTGCTAAAGAGGCAAAAACCTACTTCAACCCTCACTGAAAATGGCATTACGGCACCCAGGAGGATGTGAAAGAGTCTGATTTAATCCAGAAATCGGAGCAAGCAGAGCTAATCACCAAAACTAAGTATCTACACACCCCTTTCCCAAGAGGCACGTTCAGGACTAATTTTCCAGCAGCCAAGCTGCACCCCAAGTTGCTCCATTTGCAACACAGCAGAAGAACCAGGGACAAAAATCCCAGTTCTAAGTGTAAATGGTAACAGAAGGTCCTGGGGACATCACTTAGAGCCCAGCTCACCAAAAATCCCACATCCAAGGGAGAGCAGGCTCCTCATGAGGGAAAGCACGCCCCAAACTGTCCTACCTACTGACCCCTGGCACAAGGATGAACAGCCTCACCAACAACTTGCCACTCAACATTATGAAAGATTAAAATGCCATCACTGGTCAGCAGATGTATTTGGGGTTGGAAGGAACTCATGAAGAATGTGCAGATCCTCCAACTGCCCAGACAAGGGGTTTCCACGTGCTCTGCATTTGTAGCTCTCCCCAGCCAGCAGGGATGGGCACAGAGAGCTGGAGCTGCCTGGGATGGGCATCCAGGGATGTCCTGAACATCCTCTGGGATGGCTGGATGGGTGCCTTGCTCTGCCACGCTCCAGATCCAGCTCTGCTGGGCTCCAAAACTGAACCTCCTCTTTACTCAGGGAAACAAGGCAGCTTAGGGACATGTAAATGCATGTCTGAGCTCCCTGAGTGCTGCCAACAAACACCCTTTGTTTTAGGGAATATTTTTCACTCCATAATCAAAATCCCAGGGGTCAGGACTGGGTTTTGCTCTGGGTTTGGAGCAGCCAGAGTGAACTGGCAGCAGCTCTGAAGTGATAACCAGACATAAAGATTAGTTGGGGAAGGGCCCTTATGCTGAGTGGAGCCTTCAGTTTATCTGCAACCACCCAGATCTCATGTTCCATTCTGTGCTGCATTTCCATGGAGGGGTGGGACACAAAGCCCTCAGTCTCCCTGCAGTGACTCCCCAAAATAAAACCCACAGGAAATCCTCAGGCAGCTCTCAAGGACACATCCTGTCCATCAGTGCCCATCCAAGCCAAGTTATAAAGAAAGTCTCCTAAATCAGACTGGGTGGAAGGAGGAAGGTTGAGGATGCAGGGCAGAGGAGACACTCACACCCTGCCAGCTCTAACAGAAGATGTGCCACTCCAGGAGGGGTTTTTCAGTTGTGTTTCAGCTCCACCAAGAACACAGATCAGCCTTGAAATTCCCTCTGAGGTGCTGAAGCTTCCACTGTACATCACTCCTGGCTGACAGCACGGTGCTGCCAGGGAGATGCACCACTGAGAACCTGCAGAAGGCACCTATTAACAAAGCCTATTTTGCTAAAACCCCTTCCTGAAAACAGCCACTGTCATTACAGGCTGGAATTTCTCAGCATCTAGAAATGAGCTACATCCTTAACGTTGACACGAGGAGCGGAGGCGACTGCCAGAAAGGCTCCAACACCCAACCACCCGCTGGCTTTGGTCGCTAACAAGTCAGGAGCAGCAGGTTCAGAAGCAATGGCTGCATCCTTTCCTTGTTCTACAGGGAAAGGCACTTAAAAAAAAAAAAAACTAAAAAAAAAAACCCCAAACAACCAAACAAATAGGAAATATTTGAGGCACAGCAAAAATCCCATCAGGAAAAAGCGGAGCTGCCAGCGGAGCTCGTTATCGCGTCCAACCCGGGGAGCGACATCGGTGCCAGGGCACGTCAAACCTGCTGGAGGGAAGGGGAGCGAAGCATCTGAGCAGGCAGGTCCCTCTGGGGACAGCCTGTGGGGCTCCCTGAGCCAAAGCAGCAGCAGCTGGAGGGAAAGTGTCACCTGCCTGTCCGGCTGCGTTTGCGTGACTCGGCTCTCTCCGAGTGACTGGTGAAAAAATGAGCCTTTGTGATAACAAATATTTATTCCACAGGAAAAAAAACCCAAAAATTTATGAAGCCAACTCCTTATATGAAACCCTGTCTGATCCATTAAGAGAATTGCCCTGTAAATCACTTCTGACTTGCAGACATGGTGCAAACGTTGCTGTTGATTCTCTTGCTTTACAATTCCTTCCCATCCCTATTTTCTGTCTGGAGAATACTCCTCATTCTTTTAAGGGTACTGGCACTACAGTCAGTTTTCAGCTCCTCTAGGCTTGAACTGCTGTAGTAGATAATGCTTCTAATTCCAGCTGCACTGGTTTTGCTGGGATTAAGAAGTCAACAGACAACTCCTGCCTGTGGCTGGAAAGAAAACCACACAATTCGTGTAGAATCAAATAAAATTCATATTAATGAATCAGTGACTCATGTTGGTATAAGGAAAAAAGGCAGCCAGTCACTGTGTGGATGGTTCAGGAAAGGAAAGCCTATTTTTAGTCATATTCTAATCTTAGGGTACTCCTGAATGATTAAAGATTTTGTGACCATAACCTCTCCAACCATTGCTTCAGTTCATGGCAATCCTTAAAATTTTGCTTCAGTAAATAATGAATGAAAGCTGACTATGAGGAACATAATAATTTGATGTTAAAAATACCTCCACATTAGGATGTGGGTACGAGAGAGTGTGTTCTGAGTAGACATGAAAGGCAATTTCTTGTTAAAACACAGCTCCAACAACCATGGAACAAACCCTTCCCACTAAAATCTTATTTTCTGTTCATAAACTTGGGAGTTCATAAACTCTCCACACTTCCACTTTCCACTTGGAAAACACGAGGAAACCTTTCAGTCTGGGGCAGGAATGCACAAAGCAGAGGGGTTTATCTCTCTTGGATTTGATAAAACAATTTTCTATCAGGTGAACTCACCACCAGTGGTTAAATTTGCTTTGCCAGTGACCCCAGGAGTTGCTGCTTGGATGCTCCAGCCCCTTTTCTCCCTCCTGAGCTCCCCCA